TTAGGTACGTAGCCTCACAAGCCACAACGCATCCTTCAAACAGCTACTACGACTACAACCTAGTAACCCAGCCCTGCAGTAGACAATTCAACACAGCCATAGAAAAAACCCTCATCGATCCCTCTACTACAAACAAACAGTCACAGCACCATGATAAAAGCCAATATGAAAAAAACAGACCTTACGAAGTCGTACGTCTATCAAATAAGCACCAACCACACTACACTATCTCCCCCCCCTCTGCAAATTTCGAATCAGAGCGAAAAATATAATAAAAAAGCGACGAGCTACACTTTGACTTCAAATCCGGCACGCAAAGCCTCCTACGCATATACGAATGTATGTATGAATATCATGTAATCCCTCATCTGGTCGGTATTCTAGCCACAGCTCTGGATACACATGCGTGCCTTGTATACTCGACGCTCCGCCACTAGCTTGCTTTTCCCTTCTTCATCAAGTATTACCAATCGAAGTGTCCCCAAACCCTCCTCACCGAATTACCTAGTTAAAACTACGTCTACTCCTCGGTGACCTGCAGGTCTCTGAGGCCTTCCACCTTGAGCTCCTCGCCGGTGGCGCGCGCGTAGATGTCCTTGACGTCGTCCGTGGTCGTCTCGAAGTGCGACGTCGCGTCGTAGCTCTTGGAGATGAAGACGTTGTCTTTGGTGCCGTCCTCGAGAGGCTCGTAGAGCGGGATAGGGGGGCCCTAAACGTATGGTGAGCATAAACATACGTGACTGACAGGGGTAGGGGACATCAATGTCCGACTTACCAAAAATTGCTCCTCAATCTGGCCGAGACGCTCCAGACCAGGTTGTAGCTCGAGGTGGTGGTTGGAAGTTGTCTCGGCAATCGTGGAAACGATGGCGATGTAGTAACCCTTAGGGCACACGTTATGTGCCGACGAGACGCAAGCAATGTAGATATCTGGATTCGTTAGCTATCGGCCCACATGTTTTATCCTTACGGCGTGTAGACTTACCGTTCTTACGGCCAACCTGAGACTGGGGGATGATCAATTGGCAGGAGTCGCAGTCGTTAGTACCAGCCAAGGGGTGCTTCAAGACGCAGATGGCCTTCAGCACGTGGCCGACAACCTTGACCTTGTCGGAGAAGTACGAAGGGTCACCGAGAATTAACTTGGCCTTGGTCTCGAACTTCATCTCAGGCTCGATACCGGTCATAGTAGCCTTGATACCTGTCGCCCTGCCACCCTCGTACACGACTTCGTTGACCGAAGTGTTGAGCATGTAGGTACCACCGTAGATAGCAGATAACCGCGCGAAGCCCTGGGGCAACTCGCCGAGACCGTACAGGGGGTAGATGTAAGGCGACTTGCCATACCTTGCTACCGAGTTGCCGTACATCCTAATACGCTCGATAGCCTCGGGGGCCTTGCCAGGTTCATCACTGTACTCGTCGTTAAGGTAAAGGGCCATGGCGTGGCCGACGAAGTCGCGAGTAGAGGCCTCAAGGCCAAACTTGTCGTAAACCTCCTTCATCGTGCACTTGCTTATGTCAAGACCTAACCAGAAATATACCGTCAGCTATTGTTTATCACCTTGTAAGTCGCTTCCACTACTGACCCTTATGTGTGGCAGGATCACTCAGGTCGAAGGTGCCGACCCATTCTATGAAGCTCTTCATCCGTCGCTTCTCGAAGATGCCCATCAGGGGAGAGCGCAGGGCCTCGGCGGCATCTGAGGGGACCTTGGCAACGGTGGCCTTTGCTCCGGAGCCTTGCTGCACGAAGCTGCCTGCGACCTGCTTAAACTCGAGGTAGCGGGTAACGTCGGTAGAGACGAGGATGTTGGTCAGCTCGCCGGACGACATGAGGAACTTAGGAACTAGGTCGATGTTCCAGTCGTTGGGTCGACCATACTTCCTCCATGGTTCCTCGCCCTTCGTGAAGTTGCCATACTTCTTGAATAGCTGTTGTGGGAAAGGACAGTGTTAGTTCATCGAGATTATCGGCGAAACTGAAGAGTAGGGAAGTGGAATAAGTACCGTCTCGAGGTTTACGGATGCAGCCTCTCTGTATGGATATACTTGTTAGCGAAACGTCGACTATTATAATAAGAGGATATGCTGTTTGGTTGTTCTTCTTATTACTCACCCTCCGTAGTGATCATTGCGATCGATGTGTAGAACCTTCTTGCCCTTAACACTCAGCACACTTGGGGTTGTTAGCTCAGTCCGGAACGTCGTGTCAGCGAGCTGCTATGATGTAATCCATACCCAGAGAGAATACACTCGGTTAAACCTGCGCGAGAGAATGCGTGTTAGCCAGCTACATAACTCAACATCACGAAGCTCAACCCCACCAAGGCTGTAGCAGACAGACGAAGTTCAAGTAGGGAATGCGGGGCCCAAAGGAAACTTACCGGTGCCCAAAACGATGACATCGTACTCCTTTGCGATCTCGTCCATGGTGTTTCCGTGGTGCGATATATCTATATGGTATTAAGTAAGAGTCCGAGTCTTAAATCGTTAAAGTAGATTAGAGAGATATGTTGTTGACTCCAGGCCAAACGAAGAAGGATGTGTTTAGGAGAAGGAGAAAACAAGTATCGGTGAGAGGAAGGTTGTTGTGGTGGATACAAAAGTAGCTTTGCTGGTTCGTTTATGGTTCTGAAGCTCGAGTATCAATGGAACTGAACCACTGGACCACTAGACACCACTAGACTGAACCCCTCTAAAGGGAGCTGCCGCCAATCAGCTCTAATTAACACCAACCCCGCGCTTGGCTTAGTACCTAAATAGTACCTAAAGCAACCCCCCCTTTTTTCTAAACTTTGCCTTATCCCTTTTACCTTTTATTATCTACTACAGGGTATTACGCACTATTGATTGCCTATATTTGCTATAATTACCGCCGTCACTGCATTAATATACCTAACCCAAAATAAATATCTTAGGTTAGGTACTCTTTATACGCTCAGCAGTTATGTCAAATCATCAAATATGAGTTACAAGTTATGTAACCCAAGCTTGGGCACTAAGGTACCTCCTAGATTCACAATTCAGATCTCAAGGGATCTCGCAACCCTTTTGGCTTTTGGCTTAATGTAACATATTTACATGCTCCATTCTCGGAGCTTATACTCTATATCAATACATATGCTCGTAAGCTCATGCTCTCGTCGAGGGCTGTTGAGGCTCTGTAGCACTAGGCGGGAGCGTAGACGGGTCAACATTTTCAGCCGCCGACTTTTCTGATCCCTCCTGTTGTTCTGACGATGCCTCTTGTTGCACCTCCTTTTGCTCCTCTACTGGTTCCGCCTCCTTCACGTCTTCGTCAAAATACGAACTCGGAGTATAAGGGCGGTTCGTGTTGGCAAGATCGATTTCTGGGTCTGTCTCGGCTAGCTTCCTCGCGTCCTCCCATACGTAGTATCGTTCTGTCAACGCGTGCTTGATCGACTTCATAGTCTTGCGGACCTATGTATTGCACATATAGGTTAGTGCCAGCACGGGTCATAGATCCTAGACGTAGGTTCTTACCTCTAATAGCCTTTCCTCCATGAATTCCGCTCCGTTCTTAAGCTTTAGCCGGGCCTTCTCCTTCCGCGCCGTAGCAATGCGGTTTTGTTCCTTGACGCAAACCCACCAGAGCTTGTGCAGGTCCTCCCAGCTTTTATGCCGCAGCTCCTCAACGGTCCACCCGCGCCCGTGCTCGGAATCCTCGTCGGGCGTAAGCAGGAGCTTCTCCTTGGAGTAAAAAAACTCCCACAGCCCGTGGTTCGGGTCGACCTTAATATCCGGCTTGAAATCTACCGGTTTCGGTACCTGATCCTTGTCGATGTTCATCCGAAACCGCGGACCAGACCGGTATATGCTGCTCAGCCCACGCTGCTTGTTGTTGTCGCGGCGCGCCCGGCGCATACTTCGGTCTGGGGTCGAGGAGAACGGGCAACTTTGAGTCGCAGCTCTTATTAAGAGCACGCTCAGAAAGGATGGGTTCGCGACATGTTGGTTCCCAGCAGCGCTTATTATCCGGCCAATTGCAGGCCGGACGGAGGTAGTTGTCGCCATGAATTCACTACCTCGTACCTCGGGAATGCCGTACAAGTGGGATATCGATATCCCAGTAGGTATGCGATATGTATTAATGTGATCTTTGACTGTGACGGGATTGAATTTTTGGGTTAATCCGATGTTGTCGAGGTTAATCCGATAAGCTATCAGTGGGCATCTTATATTAGGTAATTATATTAGGTAATTACCCTACTTACATAAGTCAATATCCTGACCCACCAGAGTTGTGGCTTGACGCATCTATCATGGATTATTGTATATACACGATTACTATTTCAAATATGCAAGTTGACAAGATAATTTCATTATACGATCAGTCAGTGAAGCTGAGACGCGACGTGAAGAAGTTGACTTAGGTACGAGATAAAAAAAGAGTCGTTGTTGAAAGGGCGCAGTACTGTCACGGTAGAAAACTACGAAATAGACCAATGTTTGCTCGTAACTGTACGGTATCAGACAAAATTTTGTCTGATTGTCAGGCTTAGACAGTGTTTGATATTTGATAGGTAGTGTTGAACTAGTAGCAAACCTTTTCATCGTGTCTTGGTATTGTTGATTAAATCTGTGACTCGTCACAAAAGTAATATCGTAGGTTTGCTTAAGCTTTTCCCTAGCATGTTTAATACTCTATTATACCCAATGAGGTACATTGGGCAGAGTTGGGTTGGGCTGGACTACTGGGGCAGGATATCAGTCCGATTCCCCTTCTATAGCAGTATTCGAGACTGTCTTTCCTTGTGCAGTGGCCAAGTAGTAAACACAGACATGTTGCAATTGTATACTCCGATATTTGACTCTGCTCTACGTGTACGCCCCTAGAATTATCAAGTATCCCTATATCTTGTCTTTTCTTTTCTTGGAAATCATTCGTTCGTCCAATCAATAAGACTGGGATCTACAATGTAAATGTTTTGCTTTTCAGCACAGAACGTATGAAAATCAAACTTTATTATAACCTAGGTACTTCGGGCTTGGATTGATACGAGGAAGTAGGTGTCGTTCTAGCTTGCGGTCGGTTCTAGGATAATTGTCGAAGCTTGTGTATTCGTAAGTCGTTATAGAAGGGGCCTATGTTTACTTTCTATGGAGAGACTTGTTTAACTAAAAGAGAAATTGCATTCTTATTGTATTACTGTTTTTTTTATATTTGTAGGAGACAATAGAAGCTTTGACGTACCGTCTTTGAAGGTTCGTATCGACGAATTGAAGGAATTATTAGAAGTCATCGTGAGAGAAGAAAGCAATCTCGTGGTCGTATACGCGTCTTGAAAAGGGGACGAAGGAGTTATCGAAGACAGGAAATTAGAAAGGACGTCGTTATCGTCATAACGAAAGGCCAAAACGGCAAAAGTCGACGCGGCAAGAAATGAGGTTCTGCTGATAATAAGCTCTGGGTAGTGGATACGATCTCGGCAGCGAGTTGAGGCTCTGTCTTTAGATCCCGCTTTCTCCAAAAGTCAAGCTCACGGCGGCGGTTATATGGAGCAATGGAACACTGGAGACATGCTACAGCCATGACTATTGCCAGCTTCTGGGGAATGGGCATGACTCCATATCCATGGGGCTTCGTGTGGGGGGACTTTAGGAGCGGATGAAGACCTACACTACGACAGTTGCTTGGATAGAGATAGGGGTCGTCGACGAGGACTATCACAACCGTCACGAGCGTTACTCGGAATACTTTGATGGTGATGCAACTCTCGAGCCTCGCCTAAACCCCTTATTATTGTATTTCTTTGCAATGAATTTTCCCATATAGGTTTGTAAGAGGAAACCCCTGAACTTGCAAGTAGCGCGGACGTGCTTAGCCGGGACACCTTTCTCAACTCGGATAGCGCTCGCTCTGATGCCAAATACAAACTACCTATATTTCATACCTACCTACCTACATAGATATTATAACACGCAAAAGACACAATATAACCGGATGATTCTATCGTCATACGTTTGCTCTATTGTCTATCTCGAATATTACACACGCATTGTAACTACAGGCCAATACGTACCCAGAAAAAGGGCAACGTCTTAGAAACAGTAGTCCGTATTTCGCAACGAGGATGTTCCATGTAGGTAGCAGGAGAAGAGACCCACCACGACGTCTGAATTCTCCTAGCCTTCACCGAGCTTACAACCGTCCCTACTGTAGGCTCGGTGTAATGGCGAATAGTCCAGCCGTACATAGTCCCAGCCTCAAAAATTCTCGTAAGACAAATTGAGCTATTCGATGGCGGTAAGAAGTGCCATCCAATAACTTTCTCGATATTTCATCTGGTACGTAAGCTGGCACGGTGGAAAGTAGACACCATCCCGACCTAGACTACGTTAGAAGCGCCGGCACTAGGACGGACTAAGCACTCCTATGTTGAGAAAAATCCAATATACTACCTACCTTAAGGCATGTCTAGCTTGGCGATTTCGGTTAGCGATTAGCCTGGTCAAGACGCCTCACTCTACATAGTACTATCTATTATAATGCTACGTGGTAGCGCAGAACCTGCAGGTTCATACTGGTTGATGCCGAGATTTGGGGTCGGAATGGGCAACGCTATTATGGCTGTCGAAAACAAGGATCTGGATATCGCGCTTCTTTCCTATCTAGCTAGCATTTTCGTATGTAGATCCTTTGCCCGGCCTTGGTAGAATCTCTCGGGTTGTAAATATTCATGCAAAATGAAGTATTGATAGGGCGTCAGCCAAAACACCCTTTTAGGACATATACTATTGTCATGATCATATAAGTCGTATTTTGATCTACAATAACTGCTAGGGACTGTTTTCTAGCTATTATTTGACTGGTAGCATTTCTTTCACGTCGTCCTTAATTCGATACGCAAGTATCTCATCACTATATTGCGTATGCCTCGTTCTATATCCAAGCTGTAGGCTAGTTATATTCGTTGGATGTAATTAGTTTTACGGAAATCGTGACGCTCGACTCGATAGAATAATAGAGGCGCTGGAATAACGCAGCTGAAACTAGCAGTAGGTATTTTAAATTACGCTTATTTAGATAGGGGAAAGGGCAGGCTTTAATATATTTAAATTTTACTACGGTATCAGGCTATCCTACAAAAGAATATATAGAGCGTTAGCGTATTATCTAAACAGCGTTTGCCGTCTAGACGGTGTATCGAAGCTCAGAATCTACACGCAGTGTTTACCGAATTCCTCCACCGGAGTTAGCGGAAGCTATCGTCAAGCTATCTAACTAAGTGCTTCGTCAGATAGATTCCGACGGGTGTACACTATGTTGCCTGCGTTATGAACTAGCCGTGTTCGGGACGATCGTGATGGCTTGCTTCTCCTGGCGGGGGTTCCCACAGCTTCTATGTAGTTGATACATAGAAGACGATCATTTCGTGATTACATACCGTTAAACCCGAGTTTTGTAATATCAAGTACGGGATGCGGAATGTCTTCACCACTCAGCATATCGAATGGTAGGCGTACGGGCAGCCAACGTGCATCACCGAGTCTAGACAGGTCTAGATGCAGAAGACGACTTTGATCTGCCCGCACTACCTTTCCTCCCATTTGTAGTAGCTACGAGTAACATGACTCGAACAAATCCCGGAGACTTCGGGATTTACTCCTCCCACATGAGATTGACCTCTTTTTGCTCATTTCTAGACAGCTTCCGATTGCACTGCGTACCAACGAGAGCCAATGCTTCGTGTGGCCTGCCCAACGGGCTGCGGGGGAAGAAAGACTTTGAGCGCTAGATCATCTCGAAATAAACAAGTATGAAACCCATAGCCATAGCCGAGAATCCTCTAAGGCACAGCTCGTCTAAGTCATAAATGTATAAAATTTGATGAGTAATTCGATTGCTGAAATAAGCGACTTAACTAATACATGATGGTATTGTATTGCTAACCTTGGATGGTGGAATAATACTGGCTCGAAGCGTTCAAAGTTAAAGCCATAAGTCTTTGGAGAAGCCGTATTACGTGGATGCAAGCATCGTGAGTGATTCTTCTGCGTGTAGATGAAAATGCGTCAAGGCCGCTATCCTAGGCGTTGATCCTTTCCATGCCGAATGCATAACTTTTCTTAATGCACGGTATTTCAAGTAAACCTTGTCTAGTTTGGAAACTCGGCTGATAGAAGCCTATCAGGATGGGCAGCTCATAAGATCTTCATCAGTTGTTCCCCTGCGGATTGCCCTTATCGGAAGCCCGGACGTTTTCTTCAGGACTCGAGACAGGCCATCCCCGGGCACGACCATCAGACCCTAGGGCGAAACCAGCTGATGCTTGCCCTGTTGTCGCAACTGGTGTAACCGTCCACGTTGGGGGAACCAGTGCCAGAACCATGCGTGCAATCGTTAATGCTTCAAAGTTCCTGTTGTCCGCAATATTGGATTAGTTACTAACTATGCTGTTATGTGATATGGTAGTTAATGTATGATGTATGAACACTTTGGTCTGAGTCGCTGCGGAACGAGGATCTCATGGGCGGTCTTCGCATGATAGGACCGGGGGAAGCTGGCATCTGGATCCTGTTCTATGAATTTCGGAAGCAGTAGATGCGCGCCTCGCCCGCAAGCGCGCCATCCAGCAACTTTATATAATGATCGTTGGGTGTGGCGGTGGGGGAATCATTGCCGGCGGCACAGCGTACTTACATCACATCTCGTTACATACTACACACATACCTATCATACATACATTTTACTATCCCACGTATACACGCATGTACATACGATAACACGTATTCGTCATGGTTCGTGCCAGCCCTGTCTCGGGAGTTAAGCGTTATTTGCAATAGCCTGTAACCGCGTCACTAAGGGGATTAGGGGATTCGTATATACGTATTGTAGAATTCGCAATGAGACAAGTCTCCTAAATAAAATAATGCCCGTATGGGTTTTCCTTAGAGTTTTTGGGCTATGCTTCCCCGGGACCCGTCCCCGTCGCGGGGAGTTATTTTGGCTTGGGAAAACTTGGGAGCTTCCATGGTCCCTTGTCACTCCAACTCCCCCTTCTCAATGGGGGTCACGATGTTGCGGTCGAGCTTGGAAAAATTACCATGCGTAACAGCGGCGGTATCGGCACTTGAAATATCGTCTCGTCTTTGGCATGATTACCACATTTATTGAAGAGACGATTGCATGGTCATACGGTCATGAAAAACCTCGCATACGAAGATGGGGGGGCAAAGGGTTCCTGAATTCGGTATGATAGGATAAGATTTCGGTGCAAGCTCGGCCAGGGCGGTTGGCGATGATGCAAGAATCATGCTAATAAACCTGACAGGCACTGACCGCCAAAACAGGAGAGGCAAGGAATTGGGGAATTGGGAATGGTTGGACTAATACAAAAGTCGGACGGGAGGACGTTAAACCAAAAGGGGTAGCATACCCTGAACGCACCCTTGTCTACTAGCCACGGATTTCCTTGACCGCACCTGGATTGGTGCATAGCTACGTCCGGATAATTGCAAATAAATCCAAGAGATGATCGCCAAAGTATCTAGGTACTTGACCAGACTTACATATGGATGTATCTACATTTATGTATCTACAAATGCAATGTACATGTCCCATGTCCTCGCTCACCTTCGATGGTACATAACGAAGCACCACGGGTTGATAAGGGTTGGCTAGATGATGAATGACAATAATGATGATGAGAATCTGAATAAGAACTACCTACCTACCTGGTAATATGTATGTGAGGTCAGCAGGACGCTGATGGACGCTGATGAATAATATCCGATTCAACAGCCCCCTTTCTGGCCTACGTAGGACATAGCGAAAACTTACATAACCGCCTTCTTTATTTGTCTTCCGACCGAATTTGCCTCTTATTGACCGCGTAATGCCTGCTGACCGAAAGAGACGGTTTTGAAGTTCTCACGGCCCGTCTCGAATTTTTTTTCTTCGGGAGCGTCAACTTCGTCACTCTTGCGGCTTGACTGGTCCGGCGGATACCCGGCTGTGTGCAGGGACCTCCTTGCGACATGGGTTGCGTCTCCAAGTCCACCAATGATGAACGGGCGGAGGGTGAGTGTGTATCTTGTAGCAGTACCTACCCTATATTTGTATGTAGCACCCCCTGGCGAGCGAGTATAGTACATATCTTACCTACTACTCTCTCATACAGATGGAGTACAGATTGATATACCAGATACCATTGAAGACATACGTAAAAGGGTCTGCGAATGATCAGTTGATATTGATATCGTCTGCACTCGAACGTTACGTCTCCGAAGCAAGTCATTCCCCAACAACTTCTCGTGTTTTCATCTAGTTTCGACCACAACCTGCTGGAGACGTAGGCGAACTATCGAGCTTAGAAGATACCCAAATATGTAATGATGACGCCCCTAGTCGTTTGCTATACCATCCATACTCGAATACTTGACTCTGCTCTAAAGTAAATACTATGTGTGTGTGTGCGGTTTAGGAGGTTTGTACGTGTGTATGTGTTACGATCAACACATACACATACGTACACAACATCGTATTGTACACGCCTACCTAGGTACATAGGTAGGTAAATAGTCTGAGGTAAGGTTGTATGGAATCGGCCGGAAGTAATAAGAGAAGTTCATAATGCTAGACTAGCAGTATACATACACGATGCCTATCTTGTTTACGTGCTTCCTACGAGATGCGATTCATTATTAACAGAAAAACCCCTCTCAGCCGCCTATCCCTGCCACAGAATCGGAATGTCCTTTTTCGATCCTGCACTATGTATGGCAGGGTTCCAAAACCGGTCGCCAAGGATATAAAAGCCCTCATCTAAACAGTGATAGACCTATAAAATTTGGAAGTTGGTGATGCTTAACAAATAGATGACTATTCTTTCAGGTGGAAGCGAGGCTACGCATTCTGCTTCTCGTCTTATCTTTACTATTTAGATATTATATAGACGCTTAACTTCAATATTAACTGACTAGTACGTACATACACACCTATATAAGTGATGCCAGATGACAAAATGCCATGTGGGAGGTGGGACTCCCGCCATCTAGGGAAAACCTACAGCATCTTGATGAAGATAAGTCGTTCAGTGCCTTGACCTTGCTGACCATGGTGTGTTAGTGTCCCTTACCTTAACCCCTCTCCGTCAAAGGAAAAAAAGGGGAAAAAAAGAAAACACCAAGCCCCCGTCATAGAAGGGTTATGGAAGGACTGGAGACACAATGGCCCTTTTAAAATGGAGCTTTGCAGTTACACAAGCTGGGTCCCGTACGCGTGCCGTCTTGATTAATTCGACTGAGATTCGGGCCATGTCGCGCATATTCAGATCTGCCCACCTTTTGGAGGCTGAAGCTGAGGTGTCCACTCTACGTCGCACAAAACCCGCAGCAATGGTTGACAGAAGATGTGGTGGATGGATTTCTACGGTTTTGTATGGGGCTTTTCCTGGAGATTTCCCAGGATCGTCTCCAAGGACCCAACTACATACGACATCAGACTCCCACGAAGCTCCACCCTCCTAGCTTTGCAGCATCGCCATGGATGAGAGCTCAGCAGTTCAGGTCTCGCTATCCACTCAGCACCAGCATTAGCAGATCGCCTACGTTCCGAATCTCTGTCCTCGGAACGCGACAGCGCCAATGATGATGAAGGCTGCTTTGTTGCTTGCTAGCTTATGTAGTTTGAAAATCTCATATAATTGTCTAGCAAGCTTGGTGAAAATTCTTCTCCGGGTTTATAATGTAATTGCTATTAATGGGCTGCTGTTGTATTACCTACCTAGGTGAGAAAGAAAGCCTCAACAAACTTAGAACTGCGAACATCGGAAGTAGATATTCCCATATGCTAGACCGACGGTTCTGCCTAGGCTTGTTTGTGATATTGTCAACTTGCTTTCTATTGTCATGCTCGAGTAGGGAGTGAGAAGCAATATTTCACCCTGCTTAAGGGATACAAACAGTGCCAAAGTCTAAGCTTCGTGCTGAGTTCTGGTAAATGACTCCAGTCCCTTCGGGTTAGGTAATTGTACCCTTTACAGCGGTGATCTCGGCATCTCTTCCTATCGACTTAGAGTCAATCAACAATTACCGAACTAGCTTGGCGAGACTAGGGGCTCATCATGGATCAGACTAGGAAGCCGTCGAATGGTTTTAGGCCCGTTTCGCTTGACTCGGTAGGCCTACTACTTTTTTCCTCGCGTATCTGGTTCACGAATCGGTGTTAGTCTATAATTCGTAGTGCTCGGTGCGGGCTTTGTGGCTATGATCAATGAATAGATTCAGCTCCCGATCAGAGTCTACTGAAGACCGTCATAAGGTTTGTAAATGTACTCAGTGCTGCTCACGATAACGATACTCTTATGCCATGGCCCTTCACAGTGTTACTACCATCATATACATGTGTATTTTCAGAGACTCACAAAGTTTGCAACAGTCCATGGATCAACACTGTCTGTTACATCTTAGATCCCAGTCGCGCGTGAGCAAGGTAGAAAAAAAAAAGACTCCACCGTCTCGTCATTGTAGTTAGCGTTCGGCAATAGAGAGCGGTCCAGTAGAGCCCTCTTTTTCCCTTTCAAGACACTGTCATGGCGAAGAATCGAGACAGCCCCAATATCCCTTTCCAGTATCATTTTTCAGGGCGATAAATCTGCTACGGCGGCTATATTGTTCACATAAGTCTAGACTTAATAGACTTCATGACATAGGAGATTAGTCCTTCCAATGGCTTAAGACGTGAAAATTTTAAACTACGACTTCGGGAAAGCAACGATGCATTAAGCACCACTCGCTTGTTAGGTTTGGTTCGATTCGACTCGACTAATCTCACGATACTACATCTTAGGAACATTTTATACGAATACTTCGATTTGACAAACTGGTACCCTATAGGGAAGAACGCGGTGTCTGCACGTTTTCATGCATCAAGCTGTTCGACGCAATCATGCATTACAGTTTGAAGCCCAACTCCCTGGGCAGCTTCGCCTGATTCAGTCGTAGTCCTATGTAGTCCGCTTGAGTCGCGCACATCGGGTATAGCACGGCAGATATGTATTTGTATATGCGTTGGAGGTAGACTCGCAGGAGCATACGAAGTGCATGTGAAATGATACTATTATTAAGACTTTAGTGCTCTCTCGTTCTTTGAAGTTCTAAATCGTGTCTCCCGTTGACAATATGTAGTATCCCTAGCAAAAATAGGAGCACAGGATCAGACAACGATAAAAAAACATAAAACTAAAACTATTACGTAGGATCTAAAGTGCAACGAGATAGATATTTGTTCCCTTTTAGTAATCGAAAAGGTATCGTATCGTATTACGAGTACGGTAGAATGGATCATCGGGGACGTATCCCAGCCGGGAGAACAGTACCGTTTCTCTTGGATTGGCTATTCCTGCCGGCCACCACAAACGATCGCCCAATGGATAGGTACAGTCCTGGACTAGGCGCATGTATGCCAACAAATCAGTAGATGCATTGACGGCTGAGTTTGAGGCTCGTGTCCAATTGGACTATTACATAGTAGATAATACGCATTGTAGTTTTGAATTACGATATTTCATCGTATGATTTGTGAGGGATACCTAGTAGGAACGTAGGGACGGGAAGTTAACAAATCGTTCGCGATAGAGTATCAAGTGACCATAAAATGACAACAAACGGATAGGGCGAAAGGGCGACGATGCTATCGGAACTAACCGTCTTGTGTTCCAAGAACATGCATGGTTTGCGCATCAGGTGTGATTGCAATTACATACCTCTTTTTTATTTTATTCTGTCCATCTCTGAATCTATCAATGCACGAATGCACGGGAGAAATGTCTACGATGGATATTACGGCACTGCTACGGTAGTAGCGGAATGGTGTTCACGCTTCCATGGTTCGAGGTTCATGGATTAGTTGCCAATGGGGGGTGTGGGAGGGAATTAGGATATTACCATTTACTACTACTATTTATTATCTACTATCTATCTACTACATCATATGTCGAGTATTATATTCTATCTAAAGCCAAAGTACATACGTACGTATTGTAGGTGGAAAAAAAAGATTAAATCATACATAGTATACCACACGTCCCACGTTACCAGAGGCGTTGTCGAAGTCGACTAGAACGAAGCTACTTAGTATATTCCAACTCGTAGGTATCCAACCAGAGCTTTCATATCCATCTACCTCACTATATCTCGCTATACCAATGCCAATACCAATACCAATACCATACACTCCCCCCTACTGCGTACGGTAGCAAACACGACGTGTCGTGTCGTGCAACTGTACGCCCTTCTCAACACGAGCGATTCTCTCGCATCTGATTATCCCAAGTAGGTAGAGGCGATCAATGATCAAAGCAATAATTAAGCCATGCTAGGTGTGATGTGGCTTAAGGCGGCAACGAGAAGCGGTCCTATGAGAACTGGATATTCTGCCTGGCTGAAAAGGGAACCAATTGGCCAGGCTTCCGAATCGAGGGTACAGCGTCTTAGTTGACGATGCTCGCTGCGAGGTGGTGAAAGTATGTATCATGTATGTAGGTGTAGGTATGTAGGTAGCTTTGAAAGCATGTGAGGTAGGTCTAGGTATGTAACTAGAGGGAGAAATACATAATGTAGGGGGGCACACATTGGAGGAGACACTACATAATAAGCATGTAAGTAGCATGTAAGTAGACTCAATCCTAATTAAGCGCATCCAATACTTCGTACAACCATACAATCGTGCTTTCTCTCTCTCTCTCTCTCCCCTCCTTCCAGACTACATACATCCAGTCTCTACCAACCTTTACCTACCTGCCTCACCTACATCAATAGTAATAGCAACTACATAACATAACATACGCTACACATGTACCTTACCTTAGGTATGTACTTTTTACCTTCCCTCTATGTACGCACGAACATTTTCGAATGCACATAGTATGCGGATATGTACGCGGTATGTACGAATGCAGGTATTGTTAGGTCCGGTAGGCAAGTCTCGTACGAACATAGTATGTACACGTCGAAGATCCAAGTCTAGAAAGTTCATTACCCTAGATCCGTAAGGTAGACGTGCAGCTTGGTTAATACCTAAGGTACATACGTAGCCTAGGTGGGTACTTACTGTGACTTGGGATTTGTTTCTTTGCCTGCCACAAATCATTTTCTCAATGCCCCCCCCCCTGGTAAGGTCCGTGCTGGTTACTGCATACCTATGTACACTAACTAGGTAGTATGTAGAACCCTTGGTGGCTAGCGGCTAGCCAACAGCTACGTAGCACGCGTATCTAGCGGACGTGTCTAACCCCTTGCGGTACTAATACCCTAGGCACCGCCATACCCCTGACTCCCTTAGCAATACCGTATATGTGAATACTCATGCACTTTGCTCCTCATTTTCTTCTCACTTAAGGCATATGTAGACCTCGTTTGTACAGTTTGTACAGTTTGTACATGTACCTCCTGTTTTCTACTTACATACAATACATGCCCTGACTCCTGCGTGTTCAAGGAACCGACTCGCTCATGTCGCGACGAACGATATTTCTACCTACTGATTGATTTTCTAGGAATTGATGAAATGATTTGATCGTTTGAATTTCTTTCCTCCTCCCGCTCTTCTAAACTTGGTATTTACTTTCCAACCTCGCCCTTAGTCTCTCGAACATTTCTCTTTTCTCCCCTTTTCCTGTCTTCTCTCTACCTCACCAATTTCTACTTCTCATCCTTACTGACGAAACAAAAAGACGCCATACTCGATTCGTAATTGGCTTCTCGTCCATTGACAGGAATCTCCGCGAACTCATCCTTCATCTCTCTTGACCGCTTGTAGGAAGGGAAAGAAGAAAAAAGTTATAAACCAACTCTTGTCCACGTGCAAAAAGTCTTAAGAGGGGCAAAGCAACTCTGAATTTAGTACCTTGCGGTGGATCTCAAGCTTGTTGTGAGTGTGTGTCTCTTATCCTGTTATCCTGTTCGGTTTTTTTTCCCGCCTTCCTCTTATTTTTTTTATTTTTTTTTATATAAATTTTTTTTCCTCACTTATCATTGTCCGACGCGTTACCGGAACGCACGCCCCTTTCCTGATTAAAAAGGAAAGAATTCCCTTAAGAAGGAAAATTTCTATTCTTGCCACGCTTTAGCCTTGAAACTTACCATTACCATACATACATCAGCAATATCAGCTAAAGGTACCCTCATCTCATCTATCTACAATACCCGCTCCTGCGCCTGTCGCATCCACCGGTTTTTTCCCGTTTGATTTTTATTTACCTATTTTATACCATTTTTTCCCTTTTCCACACCAAAAAAATACCCCCCCCAAACCCAGACTTGACACCACCCACTTTGAAATTTGACTTGCAGTTTGCATGCATCAAAATCTCGACGAGTCACCGTCATCCATTCATCACGGCATCCACTTGTCCGCCGCCAATTCACTACATCCACTACCCACCAACCGACTAAACGGTTCTTCTCGGCACTCAAACCCACTTTTCCTTTTCAGACGTATTTTTGTATTTTCGTATTTTTGTAACTTTGTACCTGGACATGCTGGTTTACCTAGGTACTAGGCAAGACACGCGAGTTTGATTTCTGACAAGGGACTAGTACTCAGGCGAACCAAAATAATAAAACCGACCGAAACAAAAAAAAATTTACCACGGTTCCTTCCCTGTCAAGAAGGGGGGTAAATTAGTGATTCGGTTGAAATAAGAAGTCGCGACCACCACACCTCTCACCTCGAGGAACGTGGACCCAAATTCTCCACTTTAGAAACACCATTTGGACCCCATCAGTCCCATCTTCTGCTGCTGGGTTTGGAGCCTCACGAACTACTTTCGTCCACCTGCTCCATTCAATCCCCAATTCTACCCCAAAAACAACTTTCCCCTCATCGCCGCATAATTTTTTATTTTCTTTTTTTTTGCCCTGCGGCATCACCATCGTCGACCTTGCCCTTGCGGATAATCCACTATCCGCACTGGCGTCAACATCTACATATTCAGGTCGGGTATCAGGCGTGGAGGAATTTTCAGGATCCTTAGGTCACCGCTTTCGGTTATTTGACCTGCGACACCTGTCAGCATAGCATCCAAACGCCAACGCCAACGCGTTCGCATCATTAAAACTTTCCCCGCCGTCGCGCGCATCACCATCATCACGTTCGCTACGTGTAGGGTTCTAGTCGGTTTCGATTGAACTCGGACAAAGAAAGGAAGAGGTGGAAAATAGGGATAATTGTAGCACTACGAGACCTAGGATTGCTTCATTTCGAGCAATCGTGGCCTCATTTGCAATTGCCACTTGGACAGGATATGGACAGTGGCTCAAACCAACACCCGTACTCGTCTAACTCCATAAACACATCAGGATCAACCTATCCTTCGCCAGCGGCGATCTCCCCTAATCAATTGCAACACGCGTCCATTCAGCACACACTGCCGCCTTTGCAGCACAACGCCTCTACTATGCAATCCATTTACGGCAGCCATCCTCACACCCCTAGGACTCCAGGCACTCCTAATACTCCGCAGCCGCCTAACATGAGTCAATATCCGCCTCCCAACTCGGGTCCTACGCGTGGTTCTTACGGTATGATGCCTAATCAGTATCAGCAACCCCAGCAGGGCTACCCTACATCATCTTCGATGATGCCGCAAGCTTCTGTCGCGGCTTCTCATCCGCAGCCTATCGCGCCGGCTCCTGCGGCGGCGCGACCTCCTGTCCTTCGTCCTATGCCCGCTGGCGGAGTCATGCCGCAGACCGGGCTGCCATCTCCTTATAGTGGAAGTCCCATGATGCAGCATCAGCAATCTCTACTTCAGCAGGATAACGACCAACCTACGCATGTAGTTGGCTCGCAAGGACGCCGTGGTATATTACCTAGCGCCCCGGGAAGACCCGCTGCCCCGACCGGTAGTGGTGCGTCTAAGAACACGGTAATTCCGCAGAAAGATGCGGATGGGAAATTCCCCTGCCCCCACTGTACAAAGACTTACCTCCACGCGAAGCACCTTAAGCGCCACCTTCTCCGCCGTGAGTCTGACCGGTCCACAACGGTAATCTCCACTTTGCTAACCTTATTTAACAGACACCGGCGACCGCCCATACATGTGCGTGTTGTGCCGTGATACGTTTTCGCGAAGTGACATTCTGAAACGTCACTTCCAAAAGTGCTCTATTCGACGAGGAAACCCTACCGGGGTGAGCCATTTGTCTCATCCGCAAGCACACGTTAAGAAACAGCAGCAGAATGCGCAGAAGGCTAACGAGGGTGATATGGGACATATGAATGGCATGACTAACATGCCAGGTGATAATGTCGTCCACCCTTTCGGTATGGTCCAGATCCAAGATGGTATGGGAAATATGGCCAACGACCAGAACCAGCTTTCTAGGTCAAGCAGTATGAGTCGGATGGACGAGAACGGTAACCGGGATCGAAGAAGCATGACCGGCGGCTACAACGGCGATGTGTCGAATTCGATATCTTCGAATATCAACCCTCAGTTGGCCAACTTCAACATGCCCCCGGGCCAAAATGGCATGCCCATGTATGGAGCTTCTGGCTCAAACCAACAATCTGGCCTTGACTGGTCCCAGATGTTTCCACAGTCTGGTGCGCACCATGCCTACGTCAATCAGTTCCCTCCTAATATTGGACAGAATCAGACCGCAATCAAAACCGAGCCTAACCTCACTTCCGAAAGAAACAGTGGCATGCCAGGCATGGCCCCGAACGATGTGAACGACCGATCGCTTTTTTTCTCGAATTGGGGCATGCAACCATCGACGCACGACCCTTACCATCGACTCTCTTCGCAAATCCTCAACTTTTTCCACCCGCCCGGCACGGTACCCTCCAACCACACCGCCAGCCTTAACGACTTTTTTTCTCCTGTCAACATTAGAGACTTTCTTGATTCATACATCCATTTCCACTTCCATTTTTCATTCCTCCACATCCCCACCTTCCGTATCATGGAGGCTTATACGGGTCTCATAGCCGCAATGTGTTGTATTGGCGCTTGTTACTCTGATAATGCCGCATCTTCCAACGTTCGAGAGATAACAAATTTTTTAAAGATAGCACTCGAGCGCGATTGCGACCTGCTCGGTAGCAACGAAGCGCAAGCCGGTCTTAAATTCGGCAATGGCAGAGACAGAAGGGATATTGAGCGGTTACAGGCACTTATTCTAATGTCGTCGCTTCTTATTTGGAACGGCACACCTGTCCAGCGTGAAAGTGCTAGGAGAATCTTTCCTCTGGTGGTGGATATTAGCCGAAGATTTGATCTGCTGCAAGTCAGAAACGACTCAGCCTTATACAGCATTTTTCATCAGCCAAAAATCTCGTTGGAAGACCTGAATCCCGGACAATTTGATTGGGCGGCGTGGGTCGAACAAGAGTCGCGCATCCGAGTGATGCATATGGTATATCTTCTTGATGTTGCGCGTACCCTTTACTTCAACTGCGATCCTCAATTTGATTCCTTTGAGATTCGCGTCCCTTTGCCTGCAGACGATGCGGTCTGGGAAGCGCAATCGGCAGTTGATTGCGCGCAGGGATTAAACTTATACGGATCCGATGCGGCGAGGAGACAAAACCCAGATGGATCACAACGCAGCAAGCAACCAGAGTTAAATTTAACACTCGCCGCCCTCTTCCATGCATCATATCAAATACATCCGGGAAGCACCAATCTATACGGCAAGTTTATATTAATTCACGCTATCATTTCTCAGATTCGGCGTGCTCAAATCGAAGGCCGTATTGCTGCGTTGGATGGTGCTGCCACGCCTCTCTCACAGAATGATTGGGTTATCTCGAATGGATCAGATACAGGAAGTGGTAATGCAAGCGCCAACAATAGCACGACTGGTACGCCGGTGGCTGGGTTTTCGGCTCAAACATATAAGACTCTCTGTACCGCGCTCGATAAGTTTAAGTCGTACTGGGATATGGACATGGCGATCCAGTTTCCTCCTTCGGTCTCTAATCCTCGACGATACGGTTTCTGTCGTGATGGAATACACTTTTTTTGGCTTGCGAAATGGATGCTCAAGAATACTACGGTGGCGGATTTACAACTGGCCCCGGATAGTCGATTTAGGCAGGTTATTCAACTGCTCAAAACTGTAAAGTCGTGGGTTATGACGGACGGTGCTTCAAGAGGCGAAGAACTTGGGTCTGTGAGCGATATCGACAACGACTTCGCCGTTACCAATCTTACTCTAGACATGACGCAACTTTTCAAACCTTTGCCGTCAGTCGTGGAGTCTCCTGGCATGCCTGCTGTTAAAACGGAAGTTTAAGCAAAAAAGGCGACTATTAATCTACCAAAGATCAAGATAAAAAAGCATAAATATGGCGTTTCGTTGATGTTTTTTATTTCCTTACTTTTCCTTTTATTTACTTATGGCCTCATAAAAAGTTTCGATTCTTCTCTCTGCATCGGATCGGGTTGACGGCGGCAATTTCTCTGCATTTTCCGGGTTGGCTCACAACAAACTAGACTGGCTGTGGCGTCTGCATTTAGACTCGATGATTAGATTCAGGCCAGCTCAAAAAGCAGGTCCCACAAAACCTCCTTTGGGAGGTGATTATGATGTTTACGTCTACACTGACCGGTTAACAATTCCTGGAGTGGTCTCGTTTCTTGTGGTACGCATTATTTCATAGGGGTGGCATTCGAGCAAAGTGTGAGGGTAGGAGGCGGACTCATTGCAGCATGTTTTTCTTCAACTGATGTTTATGGGACGAGATAGATTACAGATCAGAACAATTAAAGTATATGGTTTCCATTGTTCACGTCCCTAAGACCCGCGTGCAAAGTGAAGCTTGCTGTTTCGTGAATGACTAGCAGTAAGATGCAGAAGACTCTATCTTGATACCGTAGGCTTTCATAATTTCCAGTGTTTTTCTAAAAGAACTATATTCATCGATACTCTCTCAAACGGCGCCCATAATTTCATTTGCGAGGGCAATGTTACACTAGGCTTTTTAAGTAACATGGTTATTCCTAATTCCTTTTACGATTTACGGTATGCTATGATATCCATAGATAGATACCCAGAGGTAATTATGTTGTATATTTGGAAAAATGTCTTGTTCCCATCTAATTTTCCCCCTTGCTAATAGCGTAATCCGTACATACAGACGGTATACACAGTTCACCCCGCAATAATGTTCGGTACGCTAGAATTTGGAATGTTCCATAACCACAGACAACCAAAGCAGTTCAATTAAGGTAGTGGACTGAGTATAAGAAACTGGGTATAGAAAAATGACCTGTCACATGGAAGTGGAACCCCCACCCTTGACCAACCCAATCGTCTACATAGATGACGGGTAGGCGGCGACATAGCTCTGTATGCACATCTCGGGGTCTTTGCTTACCAGAGATAAAATATCGACGCTGGGGGGGAATAATTATTATTGTTTTCTGCCAGAGGTATACATACTATACTATACTATACTATACTATACTATATTACACTATACCCCAAGGACAAAGCAAGACACGGGCTGGAATCGTCGACGAGGTACCGCCAAGTAGCCGTAAGTATCGTTTTTCGCCTCCTTGATCACCTACCTAATTTGCCTATAGGAACAACTAGCAGGGCAGGGCAGGGCAGGGCATGGCACATGTACGCTGCGTATAGTTAGGCATGCTGTACACGATACTATACATACCTACCTACACACGTCGTCGAGTATAGCCAGCCGTCCGGGGTCGACCGTGGTATGGATTCTGGGTATTCTGGGCCCTTTTTTTTTTGTTGCCCGCCCGTGGGGTCCGCCGCCACGTGGGTTAGCCAGCCAGCGGCTATCCCGAAGTTCACGTACCGAGGGCTTTTTTTGGGCTTAGGGCAGCAGGGCATTACAGTACATGGCTCGCTCTCTCGCTAGGCTGGGGAGTGAGTTTTACGGCTTTTTGGTCTGCGTTGTCTGAACATATGTGTGTGGGCGTGTGTGTGCGTGTGTGTGTATGTGTGTATATGCATGTAGGGCTTTGCAGGGGCGGTTCGAACCGTTCCCGTCGCTGGTCCGGTTAAAGGTAGGTACCGTGCCTAACTAACATAACAAACATCCATGGTTGTCTGGGATTAGGTTGGGGGGTTGGGTACGCGGCCGAGAAGGGAAGGCTGGAAAAAAAGCTGTGCTGTCGTCGCGGGAGAGGCTACCTATCCCGGAACAGGGTATATATTATGCACACACGCATACACATACACATATACACACATACATACACGTTTCCGCACGGGCAACATTCGCTACAAGAAGCGTCGTCCGTCCACCACGTTCCAGGAGCGCGGAAGTCTGCCTTTGCTGTCACTCGTCCACGGTCTACATGCTATCGACGTGTATGACGTCTGACGGTCTCGCCAGGGGTGCTGCTGGCGCTTGTCTGTGGGAACGCTGCTACGTGCGTACATACATACCTACCTACCTACATACCTACCTACATACTTACAGTACTTCTGATGATGACACGAAAACAAACGAACAAACGTCGATACATAACCTACATACTCGTGCCCCTCTCCTACCTGGTCGATCTGCCATCATCACGCGTTTATCCTACGTGGCACGGATCCGACCAGGCTAGTTAGAAGCTAGCCAGCCGGAGCTGCTTCAGTCCAGCCACGTCTGTTTTTCTCTCTGTCTGTCTGTCAGTCTGTCTATCTGTCGACTAGCAAACCCGGCCTCGTCGACTCCTCCCCTTCCCCCCTTTCGTTTCCCGCCCCCGCTCCCACGTCGATAGAGATATGTGGCACCGAGACGTTCGTCGAGCTTCCAAACTTAGCATAACTACCTAGCATTAGCATTGCCGTTGCAAACTACCGCACGCACGTACACTCGAGCCGGGTAATCCAGCTAGGGAAAAGCCCGCTCGTTCATCCCTCTCCAGGTGGCGAAATCTCCTCCTCCTCTGCAGCACGGCACTGACCAGTGTATGTCTATGTTCTATGTATGTATGTATGCACCTAACCAACACCAAAAGCTCAGTCCGCCAGCTGGCTCGGCATCCGATAGGTCGCACCGACCATCGCCTAGCCCAGCCTAGCCCGGCGAGAGCAGCCGCCGCATTTCACCTGCCTACCTACCACCTACATACATACATGACACATATTCACATACACGCATACATAGTTTTTCCCTCAGCCAGCCAGCCAGCCAGCCAGCCAGCCAGCCTACGGTAGAAAGGCTATCACAAGCCTTTCCCGCCTCTTCCCTTCCCCTCCCCCTTCCGTTGTGTTTCCGGTGCAGTTCACGATCGATCCCTTCGTTCACCGCTGCTTTCCGCCACCGTCGCCACCATCATCACCACCACTGGGCCCCTCCCCTTCGTTCTTTCTCTCGACGGCGGTGACGCTCGGCAGTATCTTGGCGAGCGCGGCCTTGTCGTCCTCGGTGGGCGTGAAGCCGTACCGCGCCTCGGCCCGATCAGCCAGCTGCAGACCGATGGCGCGCCAGGCCAGCAGGCCTAGGCCGACGCCTATGCGGGCGCGGGGCGAGAGGTTGCGGAAGGACCTGTTAGTTTTCTTAGCTCGTGAGGATGATTTTTATTTTTATTATTAATTTCATTATTCATGTTTTTATTTTTACTTGAGATAGGGGAGATAGGATGGAGATGGAGAGAGAAAGGTAAGTAGGTAAGTAGGGGAGTGAAGTCGGTGACGCCCGAGAGGTGAGACGGTGAGAGACGGTGAGGCGTGAGTGGTTAGTTCGGTTGGATTGGGGTCTCTGGTTGGCTGGTCATATTTGAGACGGACCCCCAGGTGACAGATGTATAGGTAATGTATAGGTAATGTATATGTAGTATGTATGTATGTATGTATGCGAGTATGTGTTGTTTATGTTTATGTGTGTTATATGCGTAGCGCAGGTGTGAGGTGTATAGACATGTAGGCATGAAGACGGGTTTACTTACTGTAGCAGCGACATGCTTGTACCGTATGAATCTTGTGAGCGTGTGAGCTTCTTCTTCTCTCACCGATCTCCCCTTCTAAGTGTCGTGTGCCGCTGAGCGAGGGAAATGAGCAAGCCTCCGAGACGTTTCAATAACGTAAGCCGGCGTTGTTGTATCGTGTTTGTGTGGTCTAGCGGCAGAAGGCGGTGAGTATCGAAATTGGTTTTTTTTTTTTTTTTTTTTGTGTTTCGATAATATTTTTTTTTAATAATAATAAATAATAATTATTATTATTAATTTTCACCTGCCTTTTTTCGCCTCCTGTTTTTATTGTACAGTACGATTTCGGGATGACGGGATCTTTTTAGGTATTCTTGGATCTTACATGTTCCGCATTGCCTGTAAGTAGTATATGCAGATTGTTAGTCGTGCCGTCATTTGTGGTTATACGACATGATTTATTATTTTCGCCTCAAAAATTCGGGATTTGAACTTGAACAAAGAGGCGCCACTCGTTCGTGCCGTAAGCCACGTTTAAGATTATGCCGTATAAATGCATAAATGCATATAATTTTTTATAATTTTCCGCCGGAAAGGGGAAAGGGGGTATCGTATCGTATACTCAAGTAAAAGCCTATTGGACAATGCTTCTCCGTCTGCGTCTGCGTCTGTCGACTTCCGACGACAGGCAGCTCTCACTGCATAAACATTTTACTTTTTATCTACCTGATTAATTTAATCTACGATTTTTTGAACGGTCCGTCTCGATCTTGCATCGATCATCGGAAACCTACCCGTGTCTAATAATAACCAACTTAATGATGATGACTCGAGCAACGCGCTCTTCGTGACACTAACCAATCAATCGCTGGCTCCGTACTTAGTACGGTACTCCTCGATGCTCTTGATGTCAGCTTCCGAGATAACACCCTTCATACCGTCGATGATGTCGTCGAGCTTCACGATAGGGATGATAGGGATCTGATACTCCTTCTTTAACTGGCCGATGGCGCTTGTCTTGCCGTCACCCTCTGGCAAGGTTTCCTGACGATCTAGTGCGACAATAATTCCTACAACAGTGCCACCAGCGGCTCGGATCATGTCGATGGCCTGGCGTTTGGCTGTGCCGGCGGACACGACGTCGTCAATGATGAGAACACGCTTGTCTTTTAGCGGCGATCCGACGATGCTGCCGCCCTCGCCATGATCCTTCGCCTCCTTGCGATCGAAGCTATAGGCGGCGTGGCGGTACTTGGCGCGGTCTAGCTTAATCAAGGCGTAGAAGACGGTGGCGGCTAATGGGATACCCTTATAAGCCGGGCCGAAGATGACATCGAAACCGTCGGCCAGCTCGCTTGTGGCAATAGTTTGGGCGTATGCATCCATGATGGGCTCATGCAGCTCGCCAGTATAGAAGTCGCCCGCATTGAAGAAGTAGGGCGATGTCCGCTTCGACTTCAATTCGAAAGACCCGAACCGTAGGGCGCCGCCCTCGACGGCAGCCCGCAGGAAGTCCTTCTTATACTGCGGAAGACTCATCCTATGGATTTGTGTCTAAGTTGGAATTAGTTATCATAATAATATTAGGGGCTGGATGCTTTGGTGTGGGGTAACATCTGAATTGCTTCATATAAAACTCATGGCGGGGTAACGAGAGAAAGTAAGGAAAAAGTGAAGAATAAAAAAAGGCGTCGTGAGTAACTTACGAGATTAGGATTGTTATAATTTGGTTGTAAATAAATTAACCAAATATTAGTAGCTCGGCCAAGATTTTATAGAACTTGTCAACTTTATGTTTTCGTATCCAGCTCGATTAATAAAATTGATACAATTTTCACATGCGTCGTCGCGTTCTAGAGAGCAATCGCGCGCAGCTCAACTTTCCACTTTCCACTTTCTTCACCAAGTAAGATAAAGTTATCGTTGATAAGATAAGATAATCGATAAGGAATTTTTCTGCGCCAAGATTTCGCAAAAGTGCAACTCCCACTGTCCCTCCACTCCGCCTTTTTTCAAAATACAACCAAAAAAGGTCGATAAGCTGAAGAACAGCTAGACCTTACGCGGCTGTTTTTACCAACAATCCTAACTTAGGTACACAATCGCATTATCTGTCGCCCAAGATGAAGACTACTTGGAAGGATATCCCACCGGTCCCGACGTCGGAGGAGTTTCTTGATATTGTTCTATCAAGAACTCAGCGACGTCTACCCACTCAGATTAGATCCGGATTCAAAATCAGTCGTATCAGAGGTTCGTACACTATCCAGCATTGGTCGCGTCTAATTTGCGCTCGGTACTAACTGGCTATCACAGGATTCTATACTCGTAAAGTCAAGTTCACTCAAGAGACTTTCACGGAAAAGTTCGCTCAAATTCTTGAGAGCTTCCCCCGACTCCAGGACATTCACCCATTTCACAAGGATCTTCTAAACACTCTCTACGATGCCGACCATTTCAAGATCGCCCTCGGCCATCTTTCAACCGCGAAGCACCTAATCGAAACCATCTCGAGAGATTATGTGCGACTTCTCAAGTATGCTCAGAGTTTGTTTCAATGCAAGCAACTCAAGAGGGCCGCGCTCGGTCGAATGGCAACTATCACCAAGCGACTAAAGGACCCTCTAGTCTATCTCGATCAGGTCCGCCAACATCTTGGTCGACTTCCCTCCATCGATCCCACCACGCGCACTCTCCTGATTTGCGGGTACCCCAACGTTGGCAAGTCGAGTTTCCTGCGCAGCGTAACCAGAGCCGACGTGGACGTTCAGCCTTATGCTTTCACCACCAAGAGCTTGTTTGTTGGTCACTTCGATTACAAGTACCTTCGTTTCCAGGCTATTGATACGTAAGTTCTTTCAACATCTACTATTTGCACCGAAATCCTTATTCTTTAGCCTCGAAGGGGGTTAAAAGTAATTAATGCTAACGCAAAACAGCCCCGGTATCCTGGATCACCCCCTCGAGGAGATGAACACAATCGAAATGCAGTCTATTACTGCCATTGCTCACTTGAGGTCAGCTATCCTTTACTTCATGGATCTTTCGGAGCAGTGTGGTTACTCAGTTGCCGCGCAAATGCAACTATTCAAGAGCATCAAGCCCTTATTCTCAAACAAATTGGTCTTTATTGTTATCAACAAGATCGATATTTTAAGGCCCGAAGAGCTGGATGAGAAGACGAGCGGCGAACTCCAGTCATTAGTCTCCTCCGGTGAGGTAGAGTTGCTCCAGCTCTCCTGCAATACGCAAGAAGGCGTACAGGAAGTCAAGAATGCCGCTTGCGAGCGACTTCTTGCGGACAGAGTTGCCCAGAAGTTGAAGGCAGGCACGTCAAACAACGGTGCCATTGGTGGCAGGTTAGCAGATGTTATGGCCAGAATTCACGTGGCGCAACCTATGGGCGGTGCTACGCAGGAGACCTTCATCCCCGACGCTGTAAAGAACCTCAAGAAATACAACAAGGAAGACCCCGAACGCCGCAAGTTAGCTCGTGACGTTGAAGCTGAGAATGGTGGTGCTGGTGTGTACAACGTGGACTTGAAGGCTGAATACATTCTTGCAAACCCCGAATGGAAGCATGACAGAATACCCGAGATTTACGACGGCAAGAATGTCTACGACTACATTGACCCTGATATTGATGCCAAGCTGCAAGCACTAGAAGAGGAAGAAGAGAAGCTTGAGGCGGAAGGATACTACGACTCGGATGAGGAGATTGATGATGCAGAAGAAGCAGATATCAGAGTGAAGGCAGAGATCATTCGAGAAAAGCAGGCACTGATTCGGAATGAGTCGAGAATGCGTAGAGTCAAGAACCGTGCAGCCTTACCTCGCAAGGCTATCAAGAAACCTCTATCTCAACTTGAGGATACTCTTGACGAGATGGGTGTTGACACTCAAGACCTGCAACTCAGAGGAAGGTCGCAAACGGTGACCCGTGGACGTTCTCTCACCAGAAGTCGCCTTGGCACTGAAGATTCTAACGCCATGGATATTGACGAGACACCCAAGGAGAGACTACGCTCCAAGAGCCGGGCGGCGAGCCGAGCAAGAAGCCAGCCGGCAACAAACAGGCGCGATGATGGTGTCCAGGACGAGGAGACGAGGACGAAGGCGGAGAGACAGGCCAAGCTGAGCCAGAGGAAGATGAACCGCATGGCCAGACAGGGTGAGGCTGATAGGCACATTGGCGCCACGCTGCCTAAACATTTGGTAAGTTTTCTCTACTATTTACATACCGTGCGGTACTGTGCTAACATGAAAAATAGTTTGCCGGTAAACGAACCATGGGCAAGGCGTCTCACCGTTAAGGAATACTTTTCTACCACCCACGGTCTGTACATAGTTGGTTTGATATGGCATATCAGGTTTTTTTTACTTTGCTTTGGCGTTCAGGACGGATATGATACTTTCCAGAGACGTGCCCCATCGCGTTTACGACTATTTTAGTTGAGTCAATCGATCATGAGAATAAGTCCAAGTTGAGGTCTTTAGTGTGATTTGTCCATGTGAATAGGTACATATTGAAGTGAAGTGTCAAGTGCTATGCTTCTATATCCTACGAAACAACGTATCCAGGGTTTCTCTTAGACCTGCGGCGTAGTCGTGGAATCAAGAAATAGCTACCTAGGTACCTTGTACGATTCTTAAAGTACTTAGTTCCCTTTTACTTGTACTGGATATTTTAACGGAAATGGGCTTGTAGCACTCTGAATTGGGGGTAGAGGTATACTTGCCCAGGTATGTATACGAATAATACCACGAAGCTACTAAAATATAGTTAGTTGTCATAATTTTCCCATGCAAGTTTGGCCTTAACATATAAACACTACACCTTTAATTCTTAAGTAATATATATCTGGGTAAGTACTTTAACGGCCTAGGTACTTTATGTAAAGAGAGTTATAAACATATAAGGGTAAACGCAAATGCCTTGGCATCTCTTGTTAAAAGCGTAACGGATGAATGTATATCATTGAAACCTTTTCCTAGCCCAAGGAGAATCGTGACTATAAACGGAATCCTCGATATATCGTACAAAATGGTGAAATTTCAACCGATAGTTACCTATATAAACTTGCACTAGATTGTTTCAACATTATCTTTCCAATGATAAATCAATAGTCATCTCTCAAGACTTCCTTCAACCTAGAAAACTACCTTACATAAGTCCTTAAACTACCTCCTAACCTTAGGTACCTAAGGTAAAGTCAATGACCTCAGAACATGCCATATATTCCCAACCTTTTATCACGCCGAGCAGTCCTTACATACATACTAAGACATATACATACGTACAGGTACCTATGTCAAACGTTCCCAAACATACGATGTACAACCTTTAATCCGGTATCCCACGTCTCTCGTCAGCACGATCATCTACCTACCTCCCTTGCGTTATCTCACCTTACCCTCTAACCTACTTATCTTAGAGCGGGATCGGATGGAGGGGGGGGGTTAAAGATTATTTTTTTTTTATTTTATGTTACTTCATTCTATCTTATTTTATCTCATTTATCTAACCTACCTGTTATTTGTTCAAACTGTAGTGCCGTCATATGTTCCTCTACAAGCAGCCCGCATGTATATATGCAATATATCTACCCAGGTACCCGTCCTCTTCTGTGCAACACACTCTCTCACGGGTTACCATCTCGGGCAATCCTTACTTTTCTTTCCTTTCCTTTAAATATTATTTAAGTCTCGCAGCCGTAAGCACGTACGTCAAAAGCGACCAAGTCATGAGGTCCAAGTGAATTAGCAACTCGCTGCTACGCTCGTAGCCTCAAATGAAAATTACAAAAAGGGGGAACCATAAAGCGCGGCAGTTATTACGCATTACTAAAAAGAAAACAAAGAAAAGAGTCGTCATGATAATAGAGCGATGAATTCATCAACGGCAAAACGCACGTCGCGCAATATTAGGTAGGTAGGTAGCTAGGTATCTAGCTACCTAGCTGGTAGTCTATGTGTCTTGTCTATATGCTCACTCACTCCCAGCTCTAGCTTCCATTATCATTTATGCAAATGCCGAAAAAGTCTTCGTTCCACATGGTCCTATGAACAAACTGCATAAAATCACCGCAATTGGACGATAGAAGCAGCGTCGTGTTTCTGTCCTCGTATGTAAATGCCGAAACTTTTTTCTCTCTTTTACCGGTAGCTTTCCTCCGTGATTGGGTATAGGAACTCGCAAATTATTGCTTGTGCAAGTTCAACGCAAATCTCACCTCACCTTACTTCACACCTCATTCCGATTTACCGCCCGGTCTGGCCTAAATGTTACGAGTGAAACCCCGAAATGTCAATTAGCCTCGCGATTGTGGTCTCGCCGAATAAGAGGGCAATCCCGCGATACTGAGTGACATATCGTGCCAACCTCCGCCGCCGAATCCTACTGAACTCTCTCCCAGGTGCAAGAAGCCGAATCGTTCATAGAACGTAACCAAGTACTAATGCCGAAGGCGTTAATATGACGAGTCACGACCCGCGTAGGGACTAATAGTAGGAGCAAGAAGAAGCAATGAAGAGAAACAAATAGTACTTACGTCTCGGCAGATAAGCGAGCAGCGCAGCGCGCACTCCGAGTTCCTGAGCTGCTGAAGATACGACTTCAAGAGGAGCTTTCCGAGGCCGCAGCCCTGGAGCTTAGGGTGGACGGCGAACGAGTGGATGCAGATGGTGCCGCCAGCCTCCTGATGGCCTAAGCCGGTTGTGTTGCGCTTGTTAGTGCGGAAGTCACGGGGGTAGTCCATGGCCTTGTCAGTCACAATTTCGTCGTGCGATCGCGTCGCTACGATATGCGCCATTAGAACACTTTTAGCGCCATTTTCGCGACCCGTCTCAACGGGATGCGCCGTCGGGAACGTATCGATCTCAAAGCCCTCAGTTTTATCAGGGGCGACGGTACAGAAGAGACCGAGACATAGCTCTGGGCATACTGATAGGCGGTACTCAAACTAGTTGTGAGTTAGTAATTCCTTTTCTTTAGAGGAGTATGGTATATCTAATAGGAGTATAGGTAGGTATGTATATGTGATATAGGGGTAATCACGTGTTACCCAAAAGCGACATAGCAGCAAATATGACATATCAAACCGAGATATGATATTTCAATAAATCAGGTATGAATCTGAAACAAATGTAACTCAACTCACCTTCTCTCTCGTAGCTCGATGCGCTGGGTCTGCAAACGCAGCATCCTCCAGTGCGACACAGCTGTCGAGGTCTGAGATGGCCAGCGGGCGCACATTCGGTAGGAATGGGAACGGAACGAGCTCCTGGACCCGGCCGAGTCTGCCTGGGGGTCTGTTGTGGTGGTGTCGCTGGGTATAGTTCTTGGTCTGGGTTGCTTCTATAAAGTCGTCATCCGGCAGGTCTTCCGAGTCGTCGACGGCGTTCTCAACGACATCTTCTCTAAACAGAGAGATCGGCACCTTTATGCCTGCTGTGCCTGCGCCTGCACTCTCGTCGGTCGCGGCGACGGCAGGGTTGTCGCTGACCCCTCCGGGTCTGGCGGGAGATTCCGACATGCTTGTCAGTCTGTCGAGCCTTTTTTTCTGGTCTCCGATTGGCTAGAATAGTCCGGGATGCCTAAGACGAAAAGGAAGTATTTATTGGACGAGGGACCGGAAAGAGGAGGTTCAGGTACCTAGTATTGGAGGCGTTGGGGCCGAGGCGGGGTGCAGATGATACCGGTAGACGGCACACACACAAATTTTTATCGACCTGAGAATGCGCTGCAATCAGATAAATGCTACTGTGGCGTTGGGAGTTACCTAAGTATGATTGATATTTCCCGTACGTGTTGGCGTTGTGTTACCTTGGATGGCGATGATGCTTTTTAGGTAGTTGATGGATTTAGTTAATGGAAGATCAAGTTTAGGAGGTACTTCAATACTTGTTTTCCTAAAATAAAAAAAAGGATATATGTAGGTAAGTAGAAGAGCCAATTGAATTCACCGAAATTGGAATAAGCAACTACCGTAGAACGTAAGGGAGAGGAAAGAGAGATGGAAGATGAGGGAATAAAATACATAAATTAGAATAGGAAAGCACAACCACATCATCCTTAAACTGCTTATTTGCCAGCCCGTATACCTTTTTTACCTTTAGTAGGAGGTACCCAACCTGGGTCACTTCCAATACGTGTATATGTGCAGTAGTAGCAGTAGCAAAGAGTAATGAATCTCCTCTTTCCATTTGTTTCTCTGTCCCGCGTGACCTTCCACTTAAACAAGTAAGGCAGAGATTTGCGTATGTCCAATCATATTTTACCATGATGGACATTTCTCCTGTTTGTCTCAGTCATCTTCACGCTACCTCTTACTCAACCTCTCTTACTCACGTCAAATTCACGGACAATCCACTGGGTACTTGTCAACAGGTCAACAGCCCCTACCGTAAAAGGGGGAGATAGGGAATCAACAACAAAATATCAAAGCTTTTCAGAACCAGAGGGTATCATTGCCTATCATCTCTGTGGTATCGTACAGCCGCAGCATGTTAGCCACGCCATCAAATCGTCCATAGTGGTATCCGCCTGTCCATTCTCCAAGCCCGTGTTGCAGTCTACCTCCCAGCCAACCCTGAACCCCCTTTTCTCCCTTCCAGTCCGCCCTGTCTGTAAACATGACTGCCGTCATTATGATGGAAACTTGTCTTTGTATGTCCTTCGTCTCGGGAACGGATGGTAAGGATGTGGGATATCTGATAGGCACCCCCAAAGCAGGCTAAACCCTATAAAAAAGAGAACCAACGCCACCTCATCGAGTGCAAACGCAACAACTATGGTATTTTTTTTCCCAAGCTGTGTCAAATTTTCTGTGCTTTTCTGTGGTATCGTCCGACGGCGTCCTCCCGCTCCAATCTGCAACGCCGTATTCCGCCTCGCGCAACTCATGGTATCATGTCCAGATGTACTCGTGGATATAAGCGTCAAGTAAAATCGTCTGCAGCATTCGCCTGGCTGCCTTCGAGCGAAATGAAAGAGAAAAAAAAAGGAAAAAAGAAAAAGCCGTAAAACCTTAGAACCTAAAAGAAAAATAAAAGATGAATCAAAACTATAAAGCAGAGAGTTGAGAAAATCGACCGAAAAACGCAGAGCCGACCGATGCATGATCATAGGATCGGGTATTTGTACGCCAGGGTATATCCAGCCGGGGGGTATTGCACGTAGAGCATCTAAAAGACGGAATCTAACGGTATGGTCCAATCGGACCGGGGTATCCTGAATTTGTGGAATGAGAAGTCGACGGTCGACCACTGTCGCCAGACGCACGCGTGCTGTGGCGCGGTGTCATGTCACCGCCGTGGGGTATGCTGTTAGGTGTTAGTTTGTTGTCATAGCCGTTGCTGAAGTGACGGCTCGACCAAGGGTTACTGTCATCGTCTGGAAGATTGACGCCGCTATCGTTCCAGGGGTTTCGATCAGCATTGAAGCTGCGAGTCGACTCTATCGAGATGAGAGATGACTTGGACACATTGTTTGATCCCTTGAAAAATGTGTTCATCGAATGAGAGCTGTTCTTTCTGCGGTCAAGAGAGGACAGGAGCTGAGACGGCTTCCGGAGCTTGTCAAAGATGGTGGTGGTCCGCTGTTGAGTCATGTCCTCGCCAAACGCTTGTTTCGTAGGCGAGTCTGTGCCAATGGGAGTGGGGGCGTGCTGGAGCAATTTCGAATCGAAGTATTGAAGTGAGTCCTCGAATGAGTCCGACTTCGGACGCGGGATTGCACCCTTGACAATGGTACCATCAACGCTGGCGGCCGCGAACTGCTGCATTAGGAAATCGATGGCATCGCGGAGGCCACCAGTATTGTTGCGAGTGAGCTTCCAAAGTAAAGTTACGGTGCGTTCCCCTTCCTCAGTCTTCTCTTCGGGATTCTCATGCACTTCAAGAGATACCTCATGCTGAGTCTTGAGCTTCGAAATAAGCTCGTTAACAAATTCGGGGGACTCGAGGAATTTGACAAGGGATGGAGTGCGAGTCAAAACCAATTCGTGAGTTTCAGGGACCATACCCTTTGAGTAGATGTTAGCATTATACACTGTAGGTCATGGCTTAGGCTCTGCTAGACTTACCAGGAACTCATCGGCACACAAGGGTACCTGCCATTCTGGACCGGTAACGGTCACCTCATCACTAGCCTGCTCGGTGCTGGGAAAGACAATCTTGCAATTCCACTTCTTCTCAAGTTCCTCAATCTCTTGCAGACGAGCAATAAGCTGTCGATGGTAGAGGCGGTCAACGTGCACAATCTGAGAAGTGAACTCGGAATGCTACGGAAGGACATGTTAGTGACTTGGATATATCGTATAGATTCGAAATGTCCGCGACTTACTGCTCTATCCACCATGTCCAAAATCTCAGTCTTGACTAATTCAAGATTCTGAGCGTTTCGAGCGGGAGTACGGCAGATGACATTGTCAACTTTGACGTCGTCATCTTCACGACCCATGCCTCCTAGTACGCCTGTTAATAAGCCCGAGCCTTGGCCGCGCTGGCGGGGGAGGTTCATACCACGATCCATAGCGTTCGAGAACTTGACAAAAACAGAGTGTTTTTTCATGATCCGCTGGATGTGTTGACCGCCGATGCCGATGATTCGCTTGTGGTATTGATCAGGAACGTGGAATGAAATAGAAGCAGGCATTTCCTGCTCTACCAACGTCATTCCTTGCTTCATGGAATCATACGACGGAGCGATAACGTCAATATCAAAATTGTACTCTCTGAAACTATCAAAGATGATTTGAACATTGCCTATACTGTGTTAGTTAGGCTAACGAATTATTCTTATCTGACTTACTCTGTGTCATGATTTTGTTGATCTTGCCATTCTTCTTGCCTGAGACGAATTCCTTGTGTTCATTGGCGAGCTCAATCTTGACCCGAATCTGATGCTGAGTCTGATTGACGAACTTAATCTGAGAGAGCACGCCGAGAGCCTGCTTCACGGCATCATCAGAGCCGTTGATTGTGAACGTCATTTTGTCAAAGGAGATATCCGCGTCGGAACTGGCGGAGATATCACCAAGCATGGCACGGATTTCGTGAGGACCCGGAAGCTGGGAGATACCAGCTTGTTGAATCCACCATGACGCAAAGTAAAACTGGCCGGCCTACGCTATGGATTAGCATCTGATCACCTGTTGTGCATCTTAGGGACATACGAGGGACATGATTTCTTTCATGGTGCGTTCGATGTGGAGTCCTTCCACACCTTGAACTCGAATCATGTTACGCTGTGAGGCAAGAGGAGGGAACATGATAAATGTGCCGTTAGTCTCCATAATCTTTCGAACCTTGTCCATTCGCCCAAGTAAGATACTGTCAATCTTGGGAGGCGAAACTACGGCATCCTTGATGAAGAGCTTTGTCCTGTTCACCAGCTCGTGGATCTTGCGCTTGGCTAATTCTATACCTTGAGGATTCTCGCCAGTGATAAATATCTCTTCTGGATTCCGACGACTCGCATTCGGCGGGCAGTAGCGGTGTAATTGGGCGAATGGAGGAAAGTAGATGGCCGTATTAGTGACCGACTCGATCATTTTGATGTTCTTTCGAGAACGGCCGCACACGATCGGGTGCAACGTGCTCTCAAAACGCATGATATCCAGCTGACGTCCAAGCTATACTCCACATTAGTTCCGTTTTTAACATTCGTTACGAATTCGAGGCTCGGAATATACCAATTTGTCAATGAAGATGAGAACCTGGGTCTTGGCGTGTTCCGTAGACTCGATATCTCCGTAGATGGCGACCCTCCACCTTTGATCTCGAATAACCTCGACGTCACCATTTAGGCCGTCGACCGTAGGAGTGAGTTTTGGGCCGAGAATAAAAATATCAACACCACAAAACACGGCGAAAGTATCTAGAGCATCGGTGACGTTCTTCTGCAGTGCACCAGCTTGAGCATCGACGATCAATCCATAATCTACGTCAACAGTAGTACACCTCTACAATTCTTAGTTTAGCGACACGAATCATTTATCACGTTACAAATAGAGCCGAGATGTGCATACCAATGCTAAAGGGGTATCGCTCAAGATGGTCTCACGGCTCTTGTGGACGAGTTCGGGAGAACCGGAGAGGCACACCGTTGTGACTTGCGACTTGAAACCTTTCGGTACGCTTGAGACGACGTGGGCTTCGATCGGTAATGGTCCTTTCGTAAGTTCTCTACATAGATTCTGGAGATTGGCTAGGTTCTGAGCGTGGACGGGCAAGTCGTAAACGGGGATATCATCGGGGGCATCTCCTGGGTGCGTCCACCTAAATACGGCCTCTCCAGTCGCATGCAGAATCTCCTCCGTGTTAGGGCCGGCGAGATCGGACGCAAACGGAACGTTAAAGGCGAAGTGAATAGTGCTGTCGGCGGCAGGCGAGGGACTTAGCGAAGCTCCCGGAGCTCCAGCCTTCTGGTGTGGATTTATGGCGGTCATGTTCATGTTCGGTCTTGACGACGCGCCGAAGTTGGGGCTCATCCTCTCGGGCCAGTGACGCATGTTGGCGAGCTTTTGCATGGTGAAACCGGGGGGGAAGGAAAGGGCCTAGGAGTGTGTGTAATAGGTAAGAGGTAAGGGTAATTGAGGAGTTGGAAAATGGGGTATCTCGTGCGGGAAGTTCAAAGAAGGAAGAATGAGAAAGAAATTAGAGAAGAAAAAAAAAAGGAAAGCGAGTAAGGAAGAGAGGAGGAAACCGGAGAGTGTCGTAGGCGGCGGTTTCTTCTCTAACCTTTTTCTCTTTTTGCAAAGATGGGCAACCTCTACAACTGCTGGCGGGGAGGTTGAGAGAATGAATAGTGAGGAGAAAGTGGAATTGACGGGATGGATGGACGGATGGATTTTGGGACATGAGATGTGGTGGACTGGAAGAATCGATGGAACGAGCCAAAAGCCCGAAGTGTCGGGTGTGTCGAAGCTGCAGTCAGCAGCTTGTAGCCGGCCAATAAAGATCGCGGATTCCGGGGGAACTGAGTGAGAAAAGCCCTGGGGAGCCCTGAGCAGTGTGGTACGTATCGCAATTAGCTTGGTCGAATGCCCTGTAATGTTGTGTGGGCTTAGCGCGGTTGGTAGACGGTCGGCGGTCCAAACTCATTCCAGTTCCATGTAGTGGGGGGCTGCCGGACCATTGATGCACCGTTTGGCGCAAGTTACCTCAGAGCTACGGCAAGCTCTACCGTTAGATTAGTACTTGCTATTAGCAAGCACAGCGGGAAATTGAGTTAGCCCTAGCCAACGGTTACATGCGTAATGATAGACAAGCAAGTACCAGATCTATACCTTGCAGTGGCATAGGTGGTTTCTTCCTGGCGTCATCATTAGCTGTGAGATTCATGTACAATCAATCTACCTCTTTCCATACCATGTACCTTGGATTTTGATACCTATCGATCTACATGTCTATTCAATACCTACATTTTAAATGTTGGTACCTATTTCTTTGTGATCTATAAGCAGAGAATAATTATAAGCAATGGTATGAAGATTGCTTCAAACTCAATTACAGGACCCAAGACATTTTTAAAAATGAGTCCTGCCTTTATGCTCGTTACTTTTTTATCTCGAGGCGCAAGTCTAATTGCATTGCTAGGTTATATAGTAAGTACATGTGATAGACCATACACTACCTAATACAGTTTGATCTCTTGCTCGAAATACATCTAATAGATACATCATCTAGGTATCCATTCATTTCATTCATTCAATGTCTTGTTTCTACTTGACGTTATGTATGTAAGTCACTCACATGTATGTCTCTTCAATACTACATATTCATACTACCTACCTGCTCAAATTTCAACACTTGAGTATTTGAATGGCTATTAGAGGTGGCTATCGAAAAAAAATTGTGGCCCGTGGTTGGTTTCGTATGTGCGTTCGAATGTGGGCAACACGAACTTAAGGAATAAGAAACAAGGTAATAAGGTACACTACCATCTGAGTGGTCTGCTTTTGTGGTATACAGGGATGTTGAATTATTAAATTTCACGTCTGTCCTTGGTCAAGTCCTGGTCTACCCGATTTGAGATGTTCGCATGCATTCCAAACAGACATAGCCACGGTGCACAAGACCACAGTTAGCCAAGTACGGTACGCACTTTTCCCTCTTATCCCTAGTGTATGTACATAGCAAATTGTTAATGATTGTTACATAGTCCGACCTTGTTCGACCTTACGGATCGTGGCCGGGACGTACATACATAGGTAACCTGGACCTAGAAGCTCGAGCCGACCTAGAATCTGATGGATCACGGGCCACGGCACGGGAGGTACATATCGTACATATCAATCACATATCTACTGCAGTACTTATATTACATATCTGAGTTGGCAGATCTCCCGCCTATTCTTCATCCCTTTAATCGTCCCCCCGGATCTTATGAAAAAAAATAAAAACCAAAACCGCAACACCATAGCGTAGCAGCAGTAGGTATCAATTAGGTTTAATTCTGTGGAGAGACGCCGTTTAAACATTCGCGAGCGTTACCGATTTCTAACCTCCCCTTCTCGGGATTTTATTTCATATCTTACCTCACCTAAGCTCACGACGAGTCTAGCAATAGGCTCGATTCCTCCGAGTTTAGTTCAAACGTCGAACAAAGCGCCACATACTAAGCACGGACGCTGTGTTGTACATCGGCAATCTTCGATCGGTGGGTAATGCCACGGGGCGTCCTATATATTGAAATATTGAAATATTGACTCGTATATTTCGACCTACTGCCATTCTCTCCCTTCCTCCAGCCAGCTTACCGTCCTGCCTAGCGGTACTCTCTCTATAAGGGGCATCGGGCTTATCCGGGGCCGCGCGTCTTTACCTTCGCCATCACTACCAAAGCTCCGGTAGTTAGCGGTTTATACATACGAATAGGGCTCCCATCCCCATCGTAAATTCATAGATTCCCGTTCCCGAGCCATCGTGAAAGAAGGATACTGTCCCGAACCATATCTCATCTTCTGTTGCTAGCTAGGTACTATCGTGAGTATCGTGAGTCAATAAATGGGCTGATGGGGAAAAGCAAGCATTAGAGATATTTATTAATAAAGGTAAATCCTACCTAGAATATGAATACTATTTATCTAAGACCTCTATTCTTAGGCAAAATGTTCCTTAACCTTGACATATTGAATCTGGATAGTAGTCGGCTTATAGGAGAGTGTACTGCCGAGCATATCTCGGCTAAGACTCCATAGCCGTATTAAGAGTGATGTTAAGAATGACGGGAGTATATAGATGGTTGCAGCACCACATGCACCTATCTTCCTCGCTTATGCAGATCAGAGTTCCTGTCAATCTAAAGTAGAGGATAAACATGCACCGCATCACTGAACTAACGGAATATAGAATGCTTTTGGGTCCTCTTTGGTAAAAGCCATCTGGTATATTATATACAGTCCATGCAGATAAGCACTTGGCTGCGTCGAGCTTGGTCCTGGTCCTGTGGAGGAGCTCTGCATGCCACCACCCATTCCAAGCCACGCCCCTAACCCAACTCCTACTACCCATAGAATCCCCCTCGATACCAACGCCGAGCAGATGTTTGTCTTGCTATTATAGTATGATGCGAAGAATCGTGGCAAGTTTCAACCTCAATTCCTCGTGTAGTCAACTGTAAGACTACTTGGAATTAGAGGGGATCTAAAAAAATCTCCCACTAGCCCTCCTCGGATTCAGTTACAATATCGAGTTTGTTGATGCACTACCCCTAGCGTCTGACACGTATTCATTGGTATACTTGCCTCCGACCATTGTCGGCGTAAATAATCTCTTGCTGGGGTGCTCGGGGCGGCTCAATATAAGCGACATCCCCTTCTGGGTGAGGCGGCCTATCATAATAACGCTCTACCGGCTGGATGCTAAACTCGGGCCTGGGCATATCACGTTCCGACGGTCTTGGGCCGAACTCGCGAACAACCGCAGACGCCGCATCCCTTCTTACTTCAGGGTGAACGCTAGCAGCATATCGCCTAGATGGCACCTCGGGTCGTATGGCCTCAACCCTGTTGTAATACGGTACAGCATCCGGCGGTCGGACGCTTGTGGCTCTAGGTAAATAGTCCCTTGGCATGTCCTCAGGAGCCCGCCCCATCGGTGCTCCTCGGACCGATATAAACTCCTGGTTCGGTACTCCCATAGGTTGCATAGGATAGTCGCGCTCACGATAGCTTCTATAATCGATACCATACTCCGGCTGCGTGATGACACGTCGAGGAGCATATGTGGGCGATGCACGTCGGTATATGATTCCATCCTCCTCAAAAGTCTCTCCAGCCATGCGAGATGGGGCACGTAGCGGTACTCTTTCGTAGACTAACTCACGCTCGCTCGGTCTTGGGGGTGGTACGGCTGAGTGACGCGTAGCGGCGCTGGCACGGGGAGGATCAAGATATTCGCGGCCATATTGGTCAACTAAGATACGAGGCGGGGGAGCAGGAGGTGCCATAGTAGGCGAGCCTCTCTCCACAACGATGGGTGAACGTGATCTAGCACGATCAGTATAAGGTCGTACACTCATCCGTCCATCACGTTGATATGTAGGAACATCCCGGTAGGGAGGGTTTACTGAGTAACTCGCCGAGCGTAGAGAACGCGGTTCCACAGCACCGTAAGGAGCCGGATAGCCATAAGGGGATTGGACTCGCTGGATATACTGCACGATCGTCCCGTCCGGCCGCCGTTCTTCGTATACACCACGATCTAACCTTTGACTCGCCGGGGCGACGGACTGGCGCAATGGTCTTGTATACGGATCATCCAGCCTTCCAAGCCCATACGGAGGCCCCTCGGCTGGCACATGCGTAGCAGGATACTGGTCGCGGTGCAGCACGGATACTGGTCGTTCGATTTGCGGTTCATCGTACACTAACTCTTGATCGTGTCTAGCATCGGATCGAAGGCGCTTTTGAGGACGGACAAACTGAGGGACTGATAGAGGTGAAGGCGATCGCGGTTCGGGTTTGATATAAGGAGATCCTGGGGCATCTGGTGCTCTCATTTCAGCCTTTCTCTTATTCTTCTTCTTATTCTTCTTCTTGCCTCCTTTATCTCCCTGAGGGGAACTTTCTGGACTTGTGACAGCCCCATGCTCCTGCCTTAGAGCTGTGACTTGAGCCGGTGCGCCTGGTAAAATGCTAATATCCGGCTCAGGCATAGGGGGCCGCCTAGCTACCGCCAAGGGTGAGACATGAGCAGGCTGGGGCGCGAAGGGCGAAAGATCGTGAGCGCGAACCACGGGTGACTCTCGCTGTCTGAAGTGAGCACTAGGAAGTAACTGGTGGGGGTTATGGATACGGCTGAAGTCAACAGGATGGTCCGAATCTGTATTGCCAGAGTTGTCGGATCTACTAGCAGCACCACTGTCTGAGCTGATAACCTGTGCCTCTGCCTGACGTGTCTGGCGTGAATGTACCATGATATCTCCTTCACGGCTAGCTTTTGAGCTGTTATAGACTGCACGATCTTGCACAGACGTGGCTGGGCCACCAGCGCTCGGCTGGGGCTGGCGGGAACTACTCGCGGTGTGGATGGGCTGTACGCTACGACTAACATCTGTTTGGTAGGACGATGCCGGAGTGTGGACGGGTTGAGGAGCAAATTGCCTTTGCTGTGGAGCATGTGCAGCCTGCTGAGACGCTGCGGCTGGCGCATCTCGCATTTGTACATCCTGGCGTATTGGATTCTGAATTCGGGGCGAGGCACGAGAGTCGGGCGTTTCAAGTGGGCTGGAATAGAAGGTATTGTCGTCGAAGGAGTCACTCGCATCGGAAACAGTACCAGCATTAGGAGTATTGGAACTTGGTGGGAGAGCAGTAGCTTGTACGAGAGTCAGTGCCTTGGCTAAAATATCAGAGAGGTCTAAGTCAACTGGCTGCTCCGAAGGCTGTAGAGGAGCCTTCGCCAAAGCCTTTCGATACTCGAACTCTTCTTTGAGTTCTTGTTCGAGTCTTATTCTTTGCAGCTGGAGGTCCACCTTAGCGATATAACCGGATGTTTGAAGCGAAACAGAGTTGGCAACGGCCTTGGCAGAATCTAATGGTCTTGAGACATCTGGAATAGATGCATTAGAAGCTGTCGAAGCTACGGCGACAGCTGGTTGCTGCATGTTTGCTTTGAAGGACTGCATATTGTCCACCTGGTGTAAAGAATTGAGGTTAGGTGCATTTTGAAAAGGTTGTGCGGATGATGAGGGAGCGACGCGATCTCTCGCGAGCGAAGTAGATTGCTGAGGAGTGACCGGCTTAGCCACTTTGATACGAGGATGCTTCCCAGATACTATAGTATCCCGAAAGTTAATAATTTTCTGATAATTGCTAATCTCATCGAGATCGGCAGAGGTTAAAGCGCCGTTCTGAGCGCCTGGCTGATAGCCTAAGGCTATGGGTTCTCGTGCAATACTAGCTTGAGCCATGTTTTTTTGTTGTTGTTGGAATCAACTTATAACAAGAGAACCATTCATAGATCAAAGGTCTAACACCCAGTTGATATCAACAATGAGGAAAATACACGATTACTATTTTGTGATGGAAGACGAGTATCACATGGAAGAGAAATCAGGTTGATAACTCCTTCGCTGCTTTTGCATGAAGTCGAAGAAGGGAGAATAGAAGACGTGTCGCACAACGGGTCGAGCTCCAGTTAGAACTTGAATGTTTTATTTTTTTTTGCCCGTCCATATGCATTTTAGATTTTAGAACAATGCCGGGAACTGCACCGTGCATGGATCCACATGTACAGCTATGGAAGTTACATACGTACAAGAGGTACTTAGGCAAGTACCTGAGTACGTACCTACCTATATAGTGCATATACGTAATTCGTGCAGACATTTTACTGGAATGTGATACCAAGCATTAGATAAGCAAGACCTCGGAGAGAAGATAGGTACCTACGTCAATCCACCATATTCTGATTACTTCATCGTTTGCTCTTGCTAGAATGTTTACAGTAAGGCTAGAGTAGGACAGTACACTATGCATGTCTTCGTTTTGCCGGTGACTCAAAACAAAACGTAGAGCAGTATTAACCCTCATCAATATGTATGTTTAGAATATATTCAGAATAGTCATCATATCAAAAAAAGGAACTGAGTATAAATATGTTCGTATTAGTCCTGCTTGCCGAGTTTTAACTGTGATAATTCTTTAATTATTTTAACTCTTACTTCCTTAACCTGGACTATTCTACCAAATTCCCCCTCACCCGCCTCGACCGCTCAAACGGGCCAACATCTAACAGCTAAAAGCTTCTCACTCAGCCTCTAATTCTTGACAGCTGCTTTCGACATTATAGAGTTCACACGTGCAGTTGTATTTCAAAATAGTGGCTTTCGTCAAGTCAAACGCATTATCCCCCAAAAGCTTTTATACTTATGTCAAGCATGGGATCACAAACCACAGCGCCTAATGGGGCAACAGACTCCAGACCTGTTTTATTCTTGTGAGACCATATTCTCTTCATTACCTAGACATAGACATGTAGGCTAAGACTAATGATTTAAATAGCGACATTGACAATTGTCTTTACCCCAGAAGTATGTCCAGCTCGTCATTAAACTGCAGGGAGGGATTATTTCATACTAACCACCAATTCAGGTGCCAAAGTCCATGATCTAATGGCAGACCTAATAGACAGATACTTTGCGACGCATCTAGGTCTTCCAGAAGAAGAAGCCATCAAGCTTCACCAAGAGTACTACAAGAACTACGGTCTTGCCATCGAGGGTCTAGTACGGCATCATCAAATCGATCCCCTGGACTACAACGCTAAGGTCGATGACGCTTTACCTCTCGAGGACGTCATCAAGCCTGATCCGCAGCTGCGGAAACTACTCGAGGACATCGACAAGTCTAAAGTGAAATTATGGCTTCTCACCAATGCATACGTCACGCATGGCCGGAGAGTCGTTAGGCTTCTAGGCATAGAAGACCAGTTCGAGGGCCTTACTTACTGCGACTACTCGCAAATTCCTATTGTCTGCAAACCACATAAGGACATGTTTGCTAAGGCGATGAAGGAGGCAGGAGTAGAAAAGGTCGAGGACTGCTACTTTGTTGGTAAGTATACATACACATATATCATCTAACGGTAGCTAACTCCGTCCAGACGATTCATTCGCCAATGCACAAGGTGCGCAAAACCTAGGCTGGACATCAGTTCACATTGTCGAGGAGGGACTACCAGTCCCGGCATCCCCGGCGTCCAAATACCAGATCAGACACCTAGAGGAGCTACGGGGGGTATTCCCGCAATTCTTCAAGTCGGAAAACTAAGCATAAGCAGCATGTAATATAGAGCCCGGGGATGGCATACGGCATGGATCGAGGCGTTTTGGGTATATCACCATCAGAAGGGGACAATAGAGCTCCATGTTATAGAAAACCATAGTTATACTCTAGTCCATAGCCCTTTGGCTTTACTGATAAATTACGAGAAATTCATAACGATAACCTGAACGCCTGACCGGGGTATCAATATTCTACCACTCCACTCCACTCCTTATTAGTGCGGGCGTCTGATGCTGCGAATGACTGCGTCCAACTTCGCCATTGTATCTTCCTTCTCCTTGATAGCTTCCTGTCGCTGCGCCTCAGCGGCCTTAAGCTCCTCCTCCAGCTCTTTAATATTGCGCTCTTGGTCCTGTTCGCTGTTGTCGAGGCCGGGGAGTAGGGAGATGAGGAGTTCGATCTGTTGCTCTTTCGTAATGAGGTCCTGGGCAAGCTCGACCTGCGCGGCTTTGAAGACGTCCTCCGGGTGAGGATCCACTGTTCGGATTCGACGGGTTAGTACATGCGGAATATCTGGACATGGATTAGATCGGGTTGACTTGCCCTCTTCTTGGCCAGGCTCTTGCTTCACATCTCTGATTTGATCGTTGGGACCTAGCGTCTCGAGGTTGTGATGTCGGTTGATGTAGTGAATACATGCGACGAATTGCTGAGCTAGCTGAATCCTCGGAAGTCAGTAATTGTTGGAGGAAGCTAATCTATTTGAAATACTAACCTGGTCAACAGCATCTTGTAATTGAGTAAGTCTGTCCCCCATGATGGCATGCTCATGGGCTCAACGTATTGTGTTGGTTTGCGGTTCGGAGCTTACACGCATTCGCATTGGTTGAATCGACAAGGTACGGAATACGGAATATGGGAATATCGATGCCGATGGAATACCGTTACATGTACAGGGATGATATGGTGGGGCGGCAGGTTGCACATGCAGTTGTGCGTCTATGCCTACGAATACAAGGACTCAGGATACAGTATTACGATCAGTAATAATATCTAAGTAAGTCGCGTAATATTGTTAATTATTAAATTTATGTAAAGATTACGAGAATAATTATGTATATAATTAAAGCTATTTTATAGGCGGTAACGTTTTATTAATGGTTAATTTGTACGTAATAACGGATTTACATTATTTTCCTTTTTTTATATAATTATTTTTAATTATTATAATATTTTTTTTTAATATATTTTAATTTAATCGTTTTTATAAACATTATTTATTTTAATTTAATAATCTTTTATTAATGTATTATATATTATAAATTAAATATTTATTTTAAATATAAATTAAAAATAAATTAATATTATTATATTTATTTTATAATAATATATTATTAAAGTTTTAAATTTAATATATATTATTAATATAATAATTTTTAATAATTTAAAAGTTATTATAATAAAGTTTATATTTAATAATCTGTTATTTTATTTATAATATTTAATTTTTAAACGTGTACGTTTTAATTAAACCTTTTTTTTTTTATAAATATATGCATATTTAATCTTTTATTAATTTACTATTATTAAAATTACTATAAATTAATAATGTTTTATATTATATGGTTAATTATTTTGTAAATAATATTTTTTTTTTTCCGTTATTTTATATATATATTTACTATATTTAATTAATTATTAATTTTATAAAAGTTATATATTAAACATTAAATAAAAATTATTATATTTTTTTAACTTAAAAATATAATTATATATAATTAACGTTTTTTTTAATAAATTAAAAAAATTTATTATAAAATTTATTTAATATTTATATAATATAATTTTTTTAATATTTTTATTAATTTTTTTTATTTTACCGTTTTTTTTTGGTTATAATAATATAAAATATTTAATCGTTAAACTTTTTTCTTATATTTATTTAATAACATTTACATTTATAAATAATTTTACATTATCGTTAATTTATTTTTTTAAATAATTATATATATTATTAATATATATAAATAATAATTAATATTTAATAAACGCAATATTTTATATTAAATATATTTTAATTTATTTTATAATATATTTTACAATTATTAATAAAATATATATAATAATTAATATATAATTAATTATTTATCGCGTTAATAATATTAAAAGTTAAATTAATTATAAATTAAATAATAAAAAATTAAGTTTTTTTATTAATTAATAAATAAAACATTTAATAATAATTTATTATACGGTTAATATTATATTTAAATGTTAATATTATTTTAATACTTTTTTTTATACGATTTTAATTATAATATAACTTTGGTTATAGTAAATTTTACATAATTAAATAATTAAATTGTTATATTTTAATATTTTTTAAAAATTTATAACTTTATGTGCCGTTTTTATTACATATAATAAACTTTTAAAAGTTTTATTATATTTAATAACTTTATATAAATATTTTTTATAAATAACGAAATAATTATTTATCCATTTTTCTTTAATAATGTTTAATAATATCGTTTTAAATTATAAATATTTATATATTACTTAAAGGTTTATTTAATTTAATTTATAAAGGTATTAAATTATTTTTTTCGTAATATTTTTATTTATTAAATAATTTAAATTTAATTTATTAAAAAATTTTAATAAATAATTAATTAAAACGTTAGTTTTATTTAAATAATAAATAATTTTAATGTTATAATATTTAATAATATTAAGAAAATAAAAGATTTTAACAGATTATTTAATTTTAATATTAATTATTTTTAATAATTTATAATTTATAATTATTATAACGTTTTTTTTTTTATTTAATATTATTAATGTTAAAATGTTAACATAATTTCTAATAGTTTTTTTTTTTACATTAAATAATATATTTACATATTTATTAGTTTTTTAAAAAAATAAATTATTAAATAAAAGATTTATTAATTTTTATATATATATAATTATAAAATAACCGTTTTTACGTATTTTTTACTAGCATTTAATTTTAATATAAATAATAATTTTTAATTAAATTTTTATACAATAAATATTATTATAATAATGTTATAAATTTATTTTTAAGTTATTTTTATTATAACGTTAAATTTTACAGATATGTTTTTATACTTTTTTATTAATGTTATAAATAAGCTTAATATTTTTAAATAATTTTTAATAAAATTTTTAAAATATTTAATAATATTAATAAAAGCTTTAATTTATATAATTATTTTAAATATTAATTTATTTTTAACTGTTATAACTTTTATTAAATCAGTTTTAATTCTTTTTTTTAATATTATAAATTTTAAAAATATTTCTTTTTTAACAAATATTTATATTTTAACAATATTAACAATTATACCATATTTAATAAATTATATAAATATTATTATAATTTATTTATAAAATTATTTTTTAATATTAATTTAAATATAAATATTATTTAATAATTTAATTATTTATTTATAAAATAGTTTTAAAATTTTATTAATTAATATTTAAAATATTATTAATACGTTTATTAATTTAAATAACATAATAATTTATTCGAAAATTTTAAATAATATTATAAAAATTATTTTCTTATAATTTTTTCGTTAAATTTTAATATGCTAAAAACCGTTTTTTAAATTAATAAATATATATCATTAATATTTTACCGCTTATTAAATTTAATCTTAAATATTAAATAACAAATATACATTTTTTTTAATATGTTTATTTAATTCTTTATAATTATAATAAAAATATTATATAACGTTAAAATTATTTTTATTAAATTTAATAATTTAATTTAATACTTTTTTAAATATTAATAAATATAATAATCTTTATAAATTTTTATTTTTTTATAAAATTTTACTTTTATAAATCTTTATAAAATCTTATAACACTTATTTTTAATAAAAGTTATATTATTTTAATAATAATTTAATTAAAAAATTATTTTTTATATTAATTTTATACTTTATTTTTAATTTTACATTTATACATTTTTTTATAATATTAAATAATTTAAAAAATTTTTATTTATATTAAATTAAATATTTATTAATTTTAAAATTATTAATTAATATATCTTTATATTATTATATTTTTATTAATATATTAATTATTTTATAAATAATTTTTTTATTAAATATTTTTAATAAATAATAAATTAATAAATCTTTTTAAATATATAATTTTATTAAATAAAAATTTTTTATAATAAATTTCTCATTTATAAAAAATATTTTATTTTAATATAAAATTATTAAAAAATATTCCGTTTAAAATTATTCCCGTTATAATAGCAAAAATAATATTATAACCGTTTAATATTTTAAATTTTATATAAACAATTATATTTTATTTAATTTATAATTTAACTTTTTTAATTTTTATTATCGTAAAAAATTTTTGTAATTAATACTTTATTATATTTTTAACCAAAAATTTTATAATATAATATATTTTATAATTATAATTAAAAAAAACTATAAAATCTTTATTATTATATATTTATATTTTAAATATATTATAATTTTTTTTATATTTTTTTTAAATAAACTTATCTTTAAATAATAATAATCTTTTACTTTTATTTATTTTAATTTAATAAACGTAACCTTTTTATTTATTTTATTAATAACTTTACAAAAAATCGTCGAAAATATTTACAAAAATTTATTTTAAATCCTTATTATTTAATACTTTTTTATAATTATTATTATTTTTATTATTTATTTTATTATTAATAAATTAAACTTTTTTATTACTTTTATTTTTTTATTTATTAAATATTTTTTTAAACTTTTTAATAAAATCCTTATTATTTTTAAAAAATATTCCTTTAATAATAATCTTTTTACCGTTAAATATTATTTTATATAAAAATTATAATTTTTTATTACAATTTTTAACTTAATAGCTTTTTTTATTATAATTAAAACATTTATTATTAAATAACTTAATTACATAATTTTAATTATTTATTATATTAATTTATCAATCATTTTAATTAAAGTTAAATATTATTATTTTTTATATAACATTAAATATTGTTTATTATACATCTTTTTATTAAATTTCGGCTTTTTTAAATTTACCAAATATAATTTTATTAATATTTAAATAATAAAATAAAATTATTTTATTTTATAATTAAATCATTATTTTTAAAATGTTATAAATTTTATTTTTTATTATTATTTATATTATTATTTTAAATTATTTTATAACTTTTTTAACTAATTCCGTTATATTTTATATTTTTATATAATTATAATATATTAATTATACTTTTAATATATATATATATAATATATTAATAAATATTTTATATATTTATTTTATATTACATATAAATATTAACAAATAATAATAAATTTTATAAATATATTATATAAAATTAATTAAATTTTTATTTTAATATAATAATAACATTATAAACATCATTATTAAATTATAAAATATATAATAATTTATTAAAATTTATAAAATAATTTTTATAAATATTACTTAATTAAACATTTATTTATATATTTATATTATTATTTATTAAAAATCCTTAAATAACTTTATTAATACTTTTATTAATTATAAATAATATAATATTAATATTATTTTTAATTAATTTTAAATTTTATTTAATTTATATAACGTTTAATTATTTACTTATATAAACTTAAAATAAAATAATAAAATAACTTTATTTTTATTTTTACATTTTATAAAATTTTTACTTTTTTAATAAAATATTACTTTAAACCATATTACTTTAACCTTACATTTTTAATTATCATATATAATATTTTCTTTATTATTACTATAAAAATTAAACTTACCATTTAATAATTAACTATTATTTATTAAGTTAATAAAATTTATTTTCCACATAAATTTTTATATTAATATTAATAATATTAACTTTATTATTAATAATAATAATAATTTAATTAAAATTAATTATATTTATAATTATTAAATAACATTATTTATAAAATTATTTATTACGTTTAATATTTTTATCATTATATTATAATTTTCTTATATATTTACATTTTATACGTTAAATTTTACCTTAACATTTTCGAATTTTTCACTAAACTTTTCGCTTATATTTATCATATACTTATAAACGCTTGCAATTTTAAAGCCGTAATTAACTTAAAAACTTATAAAAATATTTTTACCTTTAAAAACTTTATTAATTAAACCATTATTACTTTTTTTATTAAATATTATAATTAATATTATTATTTATTTTAACATAAATATTTATTAAAATATTTATTTATATTTTTATATAAATTAACATTTTACTTATAAAAATAATTATTTATATATTTATACTTATAAATATAAAAATTTAAAATATAATATTATAATTAATAATAATATTTAAATAAATTGCATAATATTATTAATTATTAAATTTATATAAAGATTACAAAAATAATTATATATATAATTAAAGCTATTCCATGGGCAGTAACGCCTCATTGGTGGCTGGTCCGTGCGTAGCAGCGGATCCACACAGTAATGGATGCTAGGATTGATGCATGTGCTACTGATAAATATTTATTTATCGATAAGAGAATATAAGACAGTACGTACCTACTCAACAAGCAAACTGAAGAGCTTTCACTCATCGATTCTCTCAACTACATCTTGGTATAGGTATTTCGGTACCGACGACTACATGTGATGGAATGAGGTCTATCATAAGCCACCGTCCGACATGGCGCCAACGGTTCTCAACCGCTCCACTCATTAACACCATCTCCTATAAACGCCTATTCAACCACCACCACCATAGACGCCCCTTCTCAGACTCAACTCGCCCTTTAATATACCCCGACGCCATAAATAGCGAGCACAATGACCTAGCATCATACGCCGCCTACGCCGCCCGCACGGGCCTAGACGTCAAGTCCAAGACGTACGTCGGCACGCGGTACGAGTATACCGTAGCCGACTCGCTCGGCACCCTCGGGTTCGACCTGAAGCGCGTGGGCGGGCGCTCCGACTGCGGCATCGACTTACTAGGCACGTGGCATGTGCCCTCCTCTCCAGACCATGCCCTACGTGTCCTCGTGCAATGCAAGGCCTCCGTAGCGCAGAGCACAAAAATCGGCCCGCATCACATACGCGAGCTCGAAGGTACATTCGCGGGTGCGCCTCCTGGATGGCGCAGCGGCCCCGGCCTTCTGGCTTTCCTGGTCTCCCAGAAGCCGGCTACCCAGGGCGTCCGCGACGCGATGGCTACTAGTAGCTGGCCTATGGGTTATGCCTTGTGCTCGCAGGACGGCGGGCTAGAGCAGATGTTGTGGAATAGCAGGGCCGAGGAGGAAGGACTAGAATCAATGGGTGTCGCTGTCAGGTTCTCTAACGACACTTCCAAAGAGGCTGGGAAACGGCTGACTTTAACCTGGAGGGGCAAGCCATATCTTGCCGGACCAGTCTTCAGCAAGTGAATCAGCCCAGGCCATTAGATGTATATCACAACTGAAACAAGTGTTCGTCAGGAATAAAAGGGAGCAAAATAACACTATTCAACTGCACAAACTTAGGATATTACAATATCCCATGTATATAGATCCCCACCATCCGACCATAAAACAGCCTACTAGCTAGAGATATGTACAAAGAACTCGCGAGAATTGAAGACAATACTGCTTACCTAGAATGTGCCCAAGATGTAGTTACTCTTCGCTGATACTGATAATTATGGGATAAACACTATAGCTTCATTCCAGATAGACATAAGACATTAGAGACGCTATATTAATCAACTTTTTAGAAACTCATATCCTACACGGGTAAAGCTAAGGTCAAGTTTGAGTAAGTGTTTAAAACACAAAACACAAGAGACCACGAGAACCGCGAGAACCGCGCATAAAGCACCCTCCCCTATCCAATATACACCGACGGGTACGTACGGAAACGCTCTCTGGATACCACATACAGACAAGGCCATCCGAGCTGCACCGAACCTAAACCAACCAACCAACCATCCCATCCATTCCCTCCTCCGTATCCTATAGACGAAGCATAGGCGGAATTGGCAGATAGCGCTGATAGGAATCGAACCCAAATCCACTTATACTCTACTTCCTATACGCAAACCGCCTCAATCCTCCCAAATCGCCACCTTCGCCCTCTCCGCCTCCTCCCGCCTCCTCTTCTCCGCCTCGCGTTCCTCCTCCCTCCTCTTGCGCTCCTTCTCCCTAACCGCGCGATCGTACGCGCGCTGCTCCTCCGTCGGCCGCGGCGCCCGCACGCCCAGCGCGCTGGCAATCATGCGCCGGGCCACTGCGTCCGTCTTCTCGGGTCTCTTTCCTTCCCTCTCTAAGCTCTCGCCGCTACTGCTGCTGCTGCTATTGCCCCCTGATACCGCCCCGGGAATAGGCTGCCACGGAGGCGTGCCCAAGCCGTATGATGATGGCGAGCTGGGTGTCGGAGGAGGCGCGGCGAGGCCCGAGCCGTCGATTTTGGGGTCGATGGAGGGGGAGAGGGGGGAGGTGGTGGGGAGGGGAGATGGGGATTCGGTGTCGGAGGGCACGTCTTCGTCTTCCCAGGAGTCGGCTACTGGTGCTGCTTTCTTGCCCTTGGATTTGCCTTTCGGGGCTGTGGAAGGGGTGTTAAGGGATAGGTCTGACATTGCTCGGGTGGGCATGGTGGATAGACTGGGAAGTCTGATGGGAGTACTGGTTGCTGGTGTTGGTCCTCCTTGGATATAGTGACGATCCACAAGACCGGTTGGGCTGGGTTATGTTTAGATAAGCTCTTCCCGAAGCCTATCGCAGGATTATCAGCAACAATTTGAAGTCTAATAGAAAGGTAGCAATCAGCGCTACGGCTCAGTTGTAGCGAAGGGTACGTGGTGTTGGTATGCGACGGGCCCAATTGCTACCATACGAAGGAAGCCGAGTATGTAAAGGTGTGATCTGCCCGGAAAGTCGATCGGGGGTAGCAATTGCAGATTAGGTACCTCACAGCAGACTGACGTATGCAAGTCTGGCCTGCTGTGAGACGAAGGCTCGGGAGCTCGAACCTAGATCATCGAAGGTGGGGCTAGTCGATCCACTTCCCCGCAAATCCAAATGTTGCACGGACTGGGCGCATGGACCTTCACTCGTTGCTCTTCTTTTAACAAGGCACGTGTATAAGTATTGAAACGCACTTTTGTCATTTTGTAGTGTTATAGGTTTCTCTTGTTATGTTAGGCACTCAGTATTTACCAACTACTGTATACTTAAATATATAGCGAATCGAATAATGGGAAGTTGAAGTTAAACATCATCACACACTTTCTCTTAGATCACCCCGTTGGTATAACAAAAAAGTAGTTAACATTTAATACATATTCTTATTAAAGAGCAGCATGAAAACGAAATTATGGTAATGAATGAGGATGGTCAGGCTATAAGAGTTAGCGCCGAGGTATAAGATTACTTAAGAATTACTCCTATTTATTGATATAGGTAAGGTGTATGTATTAGTAAAGTCATATGAGTGAAGCTGAAAAGAAGAGTGTACTTCTGCACACAATCTTGTTTACGTGAGCCGGGAAGACAATTCAAAGTTATAAGAAAACGTCAGAACAAAGGGTAAAGCTCATCAGTACTACTTCCGGCTCGGCTGGAGTAACCTGGCAAACATTCCCGTGTCGGGATATCACGGCTTCATGGACCACACAAACGCGAACAAGTAGCTTTTCATATATTTTCGTATAGATCTACCCCTACACCCCGTAGGGCATCTACCGCCCATTTCGGGTAATTAGCTTGATCCGGGTATAAGTTCGCAAAAAACCGCCGCAGGAAAGTCGGGTACCTGTCGGCAATAATCGCCTCCCTGACCTGCTTCATCAGGTCCAGCTGGTACCAGACATTATGCATGGTTAGCAAGTGCGCAGCTACAGTCTCTTTAGCCGTGTTGTGGTGCACGAATGCCCGGGTGATGCCCATGCCGTCCTTGCGGCAGCAATTACACCCGCAGCCATCTTCTATAGGCCCGAAGTCGTTGGCGTATTTGGCGTTGCGGAGGTTGAGGATGCCGTATTTTGTGATTGCGTTTCCGAATCTGGCTGTGCGCGTAGGCCAAACGCAGTCGAACATGTCGGCTCCTAAGGCAACGCTGACGACCAGGTCCTCGGGGTACCCGATTCCCATCACATACCGGGGTTTCAGCTCAGGTAAGAGCGCGGTACAGGTAACTACTACGCTGCAGTAGTCCGCCTTTGCCTCTCCACCGCTGAGTCCACCGATGGCGATACCCGGTGTATCTCGAGCGACCATCTCCTTACAACACTCCCTCCGCATGTCGAGGTCCAGTCCGCCTTGGATAATGCAGAATAGATTCTGCGTGGTTGGGTTTTTATGCGCGGCGATGCACCGATCTAACCATCTAACGCTGCGCTCCATTGCCTCTCGCATCCGCACGGCGTCTGGTGAAGTAGTCACTAATACGTCGTCTAGTTGCATCATGATATCACTGCCGATGGTGTTCTGAAGAGAAATGGAGTGCTCAGGAGTAAGAAGCATCGGCGTGCCGTCATGAGGACTCAAGAATCTGACACCCTCTTCTGTGATATTAGCCAGCTTGAGTAAACTAACCATCTGGAATCTATTTATGACAAGTCAGTCGTCAAGTTTTTCGGTAAGCTAGACTTCCCATATTATAAGAAAGTAGCATACCCTCCGCTATCTGTGAGTAGGTTATAGTTCCATCCTTGCAGTTTATGTGCCCCTCCAACCGCAGCGAGCACTTCCTGTCCAGGCTTTAGGCCTAGATGATAAGTGTTATTCAGACACAGACGACAACTGGTCTCTTCCAACTGTTCTGGAGTTAAGCCTTTTAATGATGCCTGTGTTGCCACAGGCATAAAGACTGGAAGTTGGACTGGTCCATGAGGAAGGGTTAAAATAGAGGCTCGTGCTCGGGTTGTCTGAGGGTGGTGGTCAGACTAAGTCCTGAATCAAAATCTTATATTTTTTATGTTCACTTACGGAACACCTCGCGACGAGATCGAATGTGAGAGCCGCCGAAGACGATGAGGCTATAACGCTAGTCATCCTGCTTAACATCAACACTAGGTAGATGAAGTATTCACTGATTTACTGATAGAATTGCTACGTCATAGGTCCTAGGATGAGTAATAAAGCAAGGTTTATCGGTCCCTGACTTATGTATTAGTAAGTGGGGTTAATTGCATGAAACTGCATGCGGAAGTTATTAATTAAGCGGTCGAGTTTGATAGAAGGAATTTGCACTCTGGAAATTGTTTCCCATTTTCATCCATGTTCACTTAATGAGAGGCCGTAGAGATGAAATTTTAATTTTATTGAGTGGCCCGTGTCCCGACTTATAATATCTGACCTATCGCATTTTGCCGATTTCACCGATTTCTCTGTACTACATTAGGTACATTTATTTGTAGGCTTTTTCCGGCAGCCGAATATTTGTTTCACTTATGTTTGTATTAGTGGCGTAGGGTAAGTACATCGGTATAGTATATGTATGACAAGAGATACGCGAATATGTAGGTATAATGATAGTTGGGAACAGATGGAAGGAAGTTGTCTTTCTTTAAGTAGTTAGTTACATTAAGTACTACATTATACCTATATTTCAATCTACACGTCAATTACTGGAAGCATGTATGGATGTCCTTGCAGATGTTTTTGTGTAAAAGCTTCGATATGACTAGGTTAATGTCTAAGACTTTCCCTTACGACCTTATGACAAGAAGTCATTGGGCAGAAGTCAGATCGTACCGCGGTAACATCCTTTATTTTTTATGTCGGTAATAGGCTCTTTCCTTCGTTTAGTAAGGATGTCTAGTAAGGATGTCCCCAGTAATATCCCCCAGCACTTTTTCACCTGCTTTGCTTTTTACAGCCCTTTCCCACAAAGCCTCGTGGCCCCCAGCAGATTCCCCCCCCAGTCGCGGGAGAAAAAATAAATAGTGGGCTATGGCCTGACAGACCCTGTAAGTAATTCCGAATTCGGGCACGATCGGGCATAAACTACCAACGACGCAGCTCCTCTGAATTGCACCTGGCCTAAACTGCAAAGGTAAGAAACATTTTTTTGTCACCTCCTTCCTCGACCTGCCACCAAAATCATACGATCTTGACATTTTTGGACATTTTTGGAAAGGGACTCGGCCAGTCCACCCGCATTTTTCTCCTGTATCATCCTCTATTTTCCTGTCGAATGGGACGCTAGGGCGTAAAAAAGACGCTTCTGGCCTTTCTTTTTCTCACTCCTGTCTCATTACCACAGTTAGAATTTTTTTAGTAACCTAGGTTATTATGGACCTGTTTGATCTTGTGGTAGTCATCAGAGTATTTTTTTTTAGGCGTCGACGACGTTCTGTGCGTCTTGTGCTCCGAGATCCCCCTTCGTTTACACGCTATTTTCAACCCGCAATCCTCAACCCGCAAGATTCGCCCCGGCTATATCTCGTTCCTCACGAGATGCATTCCCCGTCCCCATTCCCATCTACGTCTCGGCAGATACAATAATTGCTTATATTTCTTGCGTCATCTTGACCCCAGAAAGACCGAGCTTAAGTGAGCTGCAAGTGAGCTGCCTCACTTGGCCTTCCGGTCGGTCTACGGTCTGTTGTCGGTATGTATGTGTGTACTACCGTAAAACCTGGTTGATAGGAGGTTCATCGATCATTAGCTTGGCAATTCGTTGCGTTCAAGTGCCCGGACGATCTGCTTCCTTGGCGCTTTTTTGTATTTGTACAAAGCTGTGCCCAATCCAGTGTCACAGGCCGCAGAATTGCATCGCAGGCCCTATACGACAGGGAACCTGTCTTTGTCAACGTACTTTGGTATTTTCCCTTTAGCTTGGGCCTTGGGCCAGTGTGGATTTTTAATTTGAATCAAAGCCCTTTTCCATGTGGCTTGGCCTCCGTTCTTCATATATACCTGACTCATCCTACCCGTACTACTATGGTAATTTGATTCCCCAGATATCGTAGCTTTGATCTTGTAGTCGTGTTTGTTATTGTCATCATCATCATCATCATCATCATCATCAACCCATCACTCTACCTTATGAGCTTACAGGCGATGTCGGACCAGGCCTCATTTACTCATTTATCTCTGTTGCCTACCGAGTTGAGGCTCCAGATATGGCGGCATACCTGTCACCAAAGGGTAGTCGAAGTCTTATACGATAGCGAGGCCGACCTATGTACATCGTCAACGGCGCCGCCGGCCGCCCTTCACGTCTGCCGAGAGTCTCGATTTGAAGCCTTAAGAATTTATAGGAGATCCTTCGGCACAAAGTCCCACGAACCAAGGATATATTTTTGCCCCGATATAGATATACTCTACCTTCCTCGACCTCCCTTTATGGGCTATGACGATGCCTTACGGTCTTTTACGGAGCTCGTTTCCGGCATCGATGATACCGTCAACCTTGCCCTCGACTATGTTAAGCCTGATATCAGACGACCATGGGAAACCTACAACAAGTACGCCTTAATGCAGAGCTTTCCAAAAGTGAAAGAAGTCGACTTGGTCCTGGGTCCCGACTCACCGGCAGAAGAACATGGCCACGAGGATATAGGACTGGTGGATCCCACAGGAGACATATTAGCCTTATGTCGCCTACTTTCCGACATTAAGGAATCATTCTTATTTGAAGTTGGTTCCAACTACACGATTGGCGACACGAAAGAGGAATTCTTCGAGTACCCTGTTTTGCCTCCCCTGGTCTTGAAGTCGAAGATCACCTGTGCTCATGCCTAACTCTAAAATCCAGCTATAGCTACGCCGGAAAAGTCATATTATGTTTACTGCGTATTCTACAAAATAGGCCTAGAAGTCTGCATTGTAATGCAGGAGCTTTACTTCGTCGCGGCTGACTAGAGCTTTCTGTTAATGAGCTTATACTTAATGAAATATAATTTATCAACACTCTTACACCGATTGCCCATAATCGCCATCTTACTACAATCCCTGCTGGTCTTCGTCATAGTATCCGAAAATGACATTATTCTATGCAGTCAAATGAATTATTCGTTATCCGAGTGTCGACCGATATGACGGCCTCTTTTTCCAACACGAGAATGTAATGCCTTGACGGATTTCCAGGTAAAAGCCCGTCCAACTCCCGTCTAAAAACTTCCCATGTATGTATTCTCTTGGTGATTTCGTAATGACGAATTATCTATCCACCTATCACTAGTCAGTTTCAGTGTTCTTGATCCAGCCAATAGACATTCTAGACTGCTAACGCTATACTAGGTTATACATGGATACCTATATATAAACATCGCTAGCGCACGACAGTCTACGATAAGGGCGTCGCTAGGTCATACGGTGATGTTAAGGCTGAAGGTTAGGGTCGTACGGGTAATCAGCTTTGATTATGGGGGGACTCCGACAGCTAGGGAATGGTTCGGAGGTATCGTCATATGTATCATCGTATGCGCTGATATCAACGACTGCGTAAATACGGAAATCGTGGCATTCGCCAGGATATCCTCTTTGATTGCTATAGACTCGCTTTCTTGTCTTCTCATCGACATAATCGCAGTTATAGTGTGTGCTGCCAAAGGCCCACAGCTTTACGGCATCTGCTTCAATCCACGGATGCTCCTTTGTCAAGTCGCACGCGTATCGATACTTCATGCCCCCACGATCTACCACGGGAGGTTGCCCTACAGCTTCGGTATTTAGGGTCGGACAATGGTGTGTGAGGATGATGATAGAGCGTCTAGGGTCTTCGTGTGCAAGTGCTGCAACTTCATGCGATAAGTAGGACATGGTATCGAAATGGGCGAGCATGTGTTTTCTAACATCGTAGTTGGTCCGTATCTCGTTTCGATAATAAGCATCGGTGCAGTGTCGTTGACCACGAGGTGGATTAGTGAACAGCGTTGCTCCGAGGATAGTAACGTTCTCATTGAGTATGTCATATCTGCTGTTGTCGAGGAAAACGAAATCCCCCAATGTCGAACCTGGAATTTTCCTTCTTATTTGTACGTTATGGCAAAACTGCTCGACCGCTGTTCTGGCCACCTCCTAGGATAATCCATTTACCTCCCTAGGGCCAAGTACGTAGAAGATGGCTTTGAACTGGAGGAGATGGCGCTCGATGAATTCCGTGTATTGCGTACCGTGGAAGGCGAAGTTGCCGAGATCTCCTAGAAGTGCTAGATACGGGGCTTCCGGAGGGATATTGAAATGTCCATAAGCCTCGTCGAGCTCCAAGTGGAGGTCTGACATGATCTGTATTCGGACCATCGTGGCGGGGAATAGATTCTTGTATACGATGACACTACGCCCGTGTCGATATGGTCTATTTTAAGAGGTAGTTAATTAAGAGGTACCTAATGAATCAAAAATGCAATATCAATGTGATGGACTCGCTGAGCGGCTGCTACGTCTCGAGAAAATAGTTATTGAAAAGTCGTGTATGTATGTATAAGCAAGCGTGGGACTTTGTAAGACTTAAGGATCAAGATACCGGGAAGTCTTTAGCTGCGAAACACATGAATAGATATACTTTCCTTCTATCTTTACTTGTCATCGATGCAACTTGCTAATATTGAGTATATGCGTGAAAGAGCAATTATAGTTACACCTTCTCTGACTATATATATAAAGATATGGGTTGAGGGTATTGAAAGATGTATGCAGATTGTGAGATTAGTCCCTTTACGACTGGGAACGATAACCTAAGAGTCCTACCCAGATCTACGATAGAGTCGATTTGGGAAGGAAAGCAGACGGTAAATGATACCTTCACGGCGAGCAACGAACGATGAACCAATGATATAATATTTAAAGTAGGAGAGAAAGTACATCATTGTAGGACCAGCCTAGACTCGAGAGACCCCTGAATATATGTACCTGCCATCAGGGTAAATGTGGGGCGATAGCCATGCAATTACATAGCCGCACTTGCAGATAGAGTTTCGTGGAGGGTGAAGATAGCTGCGATATGCCCCGCGATTTGACTCACACCTACCTAAACTTTTAAGAAAAAAGTCGACGATCGTAGCTACCGTACCTAAGGTACCACCTACCTGGGTACTCAGCTAAAGGCTTCCATTCTATAACACTAGGGACAAACCATCTTCGCCATCTCCTTTTCCTTCTTCTTACTTGACGCAAAACCCCGCACTATTGTAGTGCGCCCAAATACGGCAACAATGGCGGCCACCATCAGCCAAAATGACCGCGAGATACCTATCCGCAACAATCCGGACTTGGAGTCCTTCGAGTAAGCTCCCCACGTCTTCCGTCTTCCTCCAGGCCCGCGCACTCCCCTCCACCAACGCGACGAGTCTAACAATGACCCCTTACCGTCACCAGTATAGTTAGCACCTACGAGAAGCTCCTCGCCGACGACCCGGAGCTCACGATGCCGGTAGCCGCAATCGAAGCGCTGATCGAAGCGCTCAGCCAGTCGTCGGCAAAAACCGTCTTTGAGACTATGGATCTCATCAAGACGCAGTCGGCGAAGCTGCGCAACGCCGTGCGCAACCCCGTCGCCCTGACCCACGGCACCGACCTCTTCCAGCAGTACCTCGTCCTGTCGCTTAAGCAGCCCGGCCCGGACGGCAAGGAGACTAGCAGTCACGAGAACTTCGAGGTCGTGCGCCAGCACCTGATGAAGAACGGAAGATTGTTTGCCCAGCGCGCGAAGCAGGCCCGCGAGCAGATTGCGACCGTTGGACGTGCGTATATCCGCGACGGGTATACCATTTTGACCCATGGGGGCTCCAGAGTGGTGGGCACGTTGTTGGGGAGAGCGGCGGAGTCTACTACGGGGGATGCTCGAAGAAAATTCAAGGTTATCCACGTGGTCAACGAGGCCCGACGGACTGAGAGCCTGAGAGTGGTAGCTGCCCTGAGGGCGAAAGGTGTCCAGGTTGCGACGATACCCGAGTCGGCAGCTGCTTATACAATGGGCAAGGTTGATATGATCATAGTCGGTGCCGAAGCAGTGACCGCAAACGGCGGGGTTATCTCGAGAATGGGAACGTACCAACTTGCCTTACTAGCCAAAGCCCGCAGGAAGGACTTCTTCGTCGCTGCCGAACAGCACAAGTTCGGCAGGACGTTTCCCCTAGACCAATTCGACCTTGGCTTTGACCAGGGTATACTGGATTTCTATGCAAAAGACCAAGAGGCGGGTGACAAGCATCCACAAATAAATCCAGATCCTGTGGACTATACAGTACGTTGAGTGATTCTACTATTGTCATTTTTAAGTATCCGTCTGCTAATACTAACAACCTAGCCGCCGGAATTCATCACGTCATTCCTCTCAGACTACGGCGTCCTCACGCCAACAGCTGTGGCCAAGCAGGTTATAGATCTGTTGTATTGAGGTTCAGCTAATGTCGCGGTATAGTATTTTGCAAGCCTAGTTTTGGACTGCGCAAGTTTCATATCACAGGTGTACATATCCTATGACGAGACGGGATACGGGATTTGTTGCCAACATGTCCTGTTAGCTTTTGGCTAAGTATCACAAGAAATTGTTGTTCACACGGACTTGGAGTTCAGTGCCTAGGTCCTGGCATTTCTTGTAGACTAAGTAATTATAAGCCTTACAACGGTGGCCCTCATAGGCAGGCGCATTATGCAAGGGGCTATGATGACATTTGATCTCCTTGGTCCGGTGGGGATGATGGACCATTACAATCCATGATAGAGCAGATGCCACTGGCACATATCATGAGCTTAGGTGGTGTACACATTGGCTACGATGGACGACTATCATGCTGTATGAATCGCATGACGCCCTGACTAGCATAAGGGTAAAATAAGAAAAAGAAAAAAGGATTAGACACATTTATGAGGCCAACGAATAAGACTGTGACTGCAATAGGAAACTTGTAAATTCAAGTGAGTGAGTAGCTTTTTGCCATTTTAGATACACCGGTCCAATGCAAGTTTTTTCCTCTTTGGAGACATACTGGCAATGCCCACATACCCCCACCTTTCCCTTCCTTAGTGAAAGGACGTTTCTTTCTTTCCCTGTTGTGTCCCCGGAGTAGTAGGGATTCCTTATAGATTGATACTGTACTGTGCTGGGAGGATAACTGGTCGACTGCAGGTTGTTGAGCGGATGTTGAATCCGCTGTAGATGCTGCGGTATGGTATATACACCAAGATAGTGTATAAGCGAGTGGACTTTGGCTGAGTTTTGCCAGTTGTTGGAACTGGGCTGATGTCCTGGACTACTAGGGCAGACGGTCTCACTAGCTAGCTCCTTTCCTAGAGGTCGCGGACGAGTCTCGCGCCGACCCAGGCGTACAAGTAGTTGCGCTGGTACCAGTTTACACTAAAGGAAGCGGCTTGTCAGTATTTATCCAAAATTTATAGGAAGGCCGTAATATATATACTAAAGCAAGTTTATAGAGCGATAAAAACAAAAGGGGTGGATTGGGAGAATATAACGTACAATGTCTTCCTTCCCGCAATACGAGGGTGGGTAGCCCAGGACCCGCCAAGTACGATATTGTGTTTCTCGTCGAAGAAATCGGCTGCAAGTTCTATTAGCACACAACCATGAGACCTAGGAGGGAGATTTTATCGTACCGGTGTACCCCGGATAGAGGGCCAAAGGCTGGAAACCCTCGTGCGGCCTGAGCGGGGAGCTGGTCCACTCCCATACGCCTCCCATCTCAGCCTGGCCCGCTAGGCGGTTGCCGTGAGCGGTCACGGCCACGGGATGCCAATGGCGGAAGCCCACATTAGCATCGCTGAGGTCGATGAACAGTTCGTCATTTTCAGACGAACCGCCATCGACGGCCTGTGCAGTGCTTGATGGTGGGGTTTCCTCAACGCCGTTATTGACCAAGTGGCTGGACATATCAGTTAGCCAGCATTCACCTCCTCTATATAATAGGGGAAGGACTTACGCGTTGACTGCTGGGACAGTGCTACCTAGCTGGCGTTCTGCTTCTTCCCTCTTCATGTTATCAACGTAAGAGTAGATGCTCCGAGCTTCCTCGAACGTGGGGATTCGGCCCCCTAGCCATGTAGCACATCCTGAGAGCTCATCATAGGATGCAAGTACTGGCCAGTCGAGCGCATACTTAAGCGGTACCAGGCCGTAGACAGTACGCACGCTCTTACCATCTAATAATGACGGAGGAACAGCTTGCTGGCCACTAGCTCCGTTGGTGTGGCCGTTGCTATGGCCGTTTGTTTCCTTGACTTCATGGCCGTTAGAGCCATCATTATGGTTCAGGCCTTCGTCAGCCCAAGAGGCAGGGGATTTTGCTGTCTTGGTATTGTACATGTATAGCGCGTACTACGATAAGTTAGAGCTGTCTCTTCTTCAGTAACAATGAAGCTCACCTCCTCGTTAGTAATAGGCCTTCCCTTAGCTTGGAAGCTGTGTACTCGTACGCGCCTAGGTGGCTTCTCATTGTCCCTATGAATTAGTTAATATAACTCTCGAATTAAGTCATGCTAGTATCACCAACCATCCGAAGTGATCAGTTGAGTTTTGTATATGATCAGGGTCGTCGAGTCCAATTGTGAGCTCTTGCTCAGGTATATCAAACCAATCATTGCTGACTCTCGCCGTGTAGGCATCTTGAGCTAGAACCTCGAAGTTTGGCCGTTTTGTGTGAGGCGGCGGGAGAGTCTTGTCACTCTGGAGCATCATATAGAGTAGTGTCTCCAAATGCATGATTTCATGCTCGAAACCCACCCATATAGCTCTTCCGACATTTCTAGGGATATTCTCTAGACCAACGGAATAGATGCTTCTTAGCCTATCCCGTACCCGTCCCTGGTACTCTATGATGTCCTCGACAGGTGGCCATTCGTCTGGAATTTCCGAGTGTTGATGGCAGATTTCCGGGTTATCAACGTCTGGGTCTATTCCTCGCTCGAAGATTGAGGAGTAGAAAGCTGGCCCTGTAAGAGGATTCTTGGTGGTCTTGGTCAATTGGATATCAAGGAACGTTGGGGTATGACCAAGGTAGAAAATGCATGCATTCCGAAGCTTGATGGGCTTGTCTAACAGCCCCTCGTTAGGCAACATGCGTCTAGTGACGATATCCCATGTATTCCATAGACCCTCGAAGTCCCCCAGAGATGGGATATGAGAGCTAGCATATTGCGAAGGGTTAGGGCTAAAGGTCATGTTTGGCTTGGTTAGAAGATGAAGACCTAGTAAGCTATCAGTTAACCTGGTTTGACATCCACTCGAAAACCCACGGGGGTTAGGACCGCCCCGCATTTAAAAGCCACGATTGATATACGCAAGGATATTACAGGCATGCCTTAAAGACGGCGAGGTCTCCTGACCGGCCTCACGTGGACTACGTGCTGCATGGCATCTTAAAACGTGGAGCTGACCCTGTTTATTCGTAGGATGGGATGTGACGGAAGTAGGACGGCCCCCATATTCCCGGGGTTGGACAAAGAATTCGTGGTCCACTCACCGTAGTCTTCGTCTTCGGTCATCCAGCGATCAGCTTCGATCATGCCCGCCGACCGCCATAGATTTCTGCAGCCCTCTTCCGAGTACTTTAGACTCTGTTCGACTTGAATACGTTCCTGGGCCTTGACCGTCTCTCCCAAGACCACGGTGTCTCGTGGTGGCGAGTAGAATGCTTGGTGGCGTCCTCCTTCGATGTCATAGACATATTCACCAATGACCTGCCAGTCATCTAGGTCAAATGCCTTATGTCCAAGAACCTCATTTGCATGAGAGAGTCCATTCAGGAGGAACCTTGGCCAGTCAGTACAAGGGGAAGCCGGAAGGATGTATGCATTGCGTCATTCCTAACTGACCTATGCGTGATGCCGTGTCTGTCTTGAGAGCAGCATATAGGGTTCAGTATAGCTCAATGTGGATTTTAAATAATACTAACCGTTATATGCGTGACTATTGTTGGGCGTCAGAAGCCTGATAACTCTTCAAGTGAGTATGGTATGGGACGTTCCATGACTTACTAGACCTTGGAGGGATCTGTGCAGGAGTCCAATCCAATCAGAAAGCTATCCGCTGGCTGGAGAACATCGGCGAACCCTCTCAGGAACGAGGCTGCTTCGTCCCGGTGGAAGTTACCTAATTAGGCTGGTCAATTGCAAAGGATCTGATTTGGCGTCTATATGTATACGGAATATGCTCGAGTTCGTACCAATGCTAGACCCGAGAGATAAAACGCATTTTCGCTTGGAGGCGATCTGCGGCCTCCTTAACCATTCACGGCCGTCATCGTATGTTCCTAACAATCCGTGACACCGGACGTGACGGAAATTTGGAACTTGAGCCAGAGTTCTTGACAACTCATCTTCTGACAAATCAAGAGCATAATAGTCGATCTTCTTGCCGGCGTCGTCAAGAGCTTGAAGCAAAAGAGCCACCTTCCTCAGGTTGCTAGCCAAGAAGGTCAATCAATACTGCCACCGAGTTACGGAGATGGTCCTATAACTCACCCGCTGCCTAACTCGAGCACCAGAGATCCGGACGGAATTGACTTGGCAATGGCAGTAGCCGAACGCCGCAAGACTTGGATCTCATAATTTGTTAAATAGTACTCTTCTAAATATGTGATCTGAAGTTCCTGTCAGTGTGAGGTGATAAGTGTAACTATGTTCGTCTAACCTCTTCAAACAGTTGTAGACCTCTCTCGTCATAGAGTAGTAAGGTCGGCAATTTCCGGCGCCCCTCCTGAGGGCGCAGTAACTTATGGATTTCCTCTTTTAGGTTAATTTCGACGGCGGTTTGCCGTATGTCAGTAATATCAACATTTGGATGTTGTCCCGCGATTATACTAGCACCCTTTTCTAACTTGTACTCCGGATTAGGTATCTGGGGCTCATACGGTGACTCGACAACAGATGGCATAGCTGCTGATTATGATAAAATTGTCTTATTACACAAGAGGTGGTGGTGGCTAAGCTTAGAGGGTAGTTTTTACGTTTCTGCAGGGGTGAGGATATCGTAGGTAATATATATAAATTTCAATTGGGACGGTTGTTAAAGTCTGAATGGCGTAACATAAGAGTTACAATACAGGGATATGAGGTACCTACTTAGACCTAGTACAGAAAGCATATTGTGAGATGAGAAGCCAGACAAGCCTAGCTGCGAGACCACACTCTCTGCCGCTAGCAAAGGGAGTAATGGAACAAGGGTAATAATGGTGATGTCAGTCGGGTTGGTCCCAGTCTAGATATGGTTGGACCAGCGACGAAGTTCCCAGGTACGTCAGCCCTAAAAGCGTTCGAGCAAGCTGCATCCACGGTGGCCATCCTGGATATACTATTTGGTTACCACGATATGTAATGTATCGTATGTGGGATCCGAGGAAAGGCGTGAAAAGGCGGATAGGGCTCGTATCTATCCACACCTTCTTACGGCAGGATGATACGGTAATTCGGGTTGCCAAGAAAGGGTCTTGGGCGGCACATAAAGTGAGTGTCCCGGAACTTGGATAGTTGAGAACTGAGGAGTCGGAATTTGTTTTGTCATAAAATGCTGCAAGTTAAACTGTGAGAGTGGGATGTTGAAGGAGAATAACAAATCACGGGCCAGAATAGGGACGACGAGGAAAAGCTACGGCTGTCCCGGCCCCGCAATGAGAAACTTTTGAAGTGGCCAGTGCATGGTATCGTATGGTACACCCGCACCGCCGTTGGCAAGCCTTTACCGAATCAGGCACCTTGTATACAATTGCACCGCACTACTACCCCTAGTTCTTACCTTAGGTACCTGGTTAGGCCCTAGGGTACCTATCTAGGTAGGAGGTAGGTAGTTCTTGCTCAACTTACATACACTAGTCCCTACATACCGTATCCTGTTGTGCGACAAGAACGCTGCAGGCTCCCCTCGCCGTCCCTTACCTACCCTTACCTACAGGTAAGCTACCACGGGTGTACCTTGGCTCGGTTCCGGTTCCTGGTAAAGACGTTTCCTTACGGTGAGAAGACTAATACGGAGGTGATTAGTCTTATTATCAGTCAGATACATGTACCGAATGTTTGATACGGAATAT